TGGTTAGCGTCAATTTGTCTCAGATTTTCAGCCTGTAAAATGCAAGGCCCGCGGCAAAAACTTATTGAACGCCCCACACGTATTTCTACATTTTGTGCCATTTTTTTTGAACACCACTGTATTTGCTTTTATCCCCAACTATGGCTTCCTCGAGCAGACAAACCTTTAGTGCGCCAGCCGAAGAGCCAAAAAACCTTCTTTACTATTCAGAATACCATCAGCAGGAGGGAAAAACTTGGAAAAACTGGACGACGACAGGAAACGAGAAAGAGACGCATACTTCGAACAATGGGTCAGCCACGCTCTTGCTGACGATTCTACGAATGCAACACTGTTTCGAGAGGAATACAACACGAGCGGTGACGCTAGGCGTAACGATATGATCGAAAATGTACGGACGTACTTCTCCCAGTCAAACGTCGTGCGAACCGTTGCTACGAAAATGAGGTTGCAGCTGAAAGTCCAACGCGCAATGGTGTTCTCCGCGTCTTCCCATGAGGAGCAAAATCTCCAGCGAGCAGTCGCCGAAGCTTTCGACATTGACTATCTCGATCCTTTTGACTCGGCCTCACGATTTTTGAGTACTTGAAAATGCGTCTGAGAGAGTGGGACCGCAAGGTCATGGAAGATATTGCAAATTGTGACGCGTAAACCCTCAGCGATTTTATATAAATATTTAATGCCAAATAATAGAGTTTTACATCACTTTACTAATCTGCAGCTTTTGGAAATTTATAATAAAGACTTATGGCGAACAAGTGTCGTCAAAATTTTTGAAAAGCCTGGCGACGAGAAAAAAAAAGCCTGGCAAAAAAAAAAGCCTGGCAAAAAAAAAAAGCCTGGCAAAAAAAAAAGCCTGGACGAGACGAGGAATTGCCTGGGCGAGTCAAAGTCATGTAAGTTTAATTTTATGAATATATATTAATATGCCATTTAAGAATAAAAAATAAGCGTTTGAATTTAATTTTCAAAATTTTAGATTACCGTACTGGAAAAATCCATCTCTAGGGATCCGCCATCTGAATGAGGGCACATATATCGCTAAAATTGTCTCCCATTATAAGCGCATGTTTTAGCGAATAAATATTGATGCGAATATTGAACAAATTTGGGGCATGGATGGGTCAGAAGACGATTTATTTGGACAAATGGAGGAGGAAATTGATGAAAATGAAAGAGAAATTGTAGATATTATTATGCGAGAAATCAATATTATAATAATATTATTATTATCAAATTTTGATGCAACATGCTTCCTCATTTTTATTAGTCAGTCACGAATACTACAAGTAACATCTATCTTACCGATAACATACATAAAGATGCTTACTGCTTACACGATTTCCACTGACAGTCTTGGGTTTTTAAATTATAACTACTTTTTTGGAAGGAGGCCAGAATTTGTTAGCAAGACCGGGCTTGATCAAGTCACCTATCTGAAGCTACCTGTAGTATTCAAGAGATTAACAAATGAAGCGCAATGATTGTAAAGAATGTAATTGTGAAAACATAAGACTCTTTAACCATCTTATATCATGTAATTATCAAAATCTAACCATAGCTGTTAAATAATAGTATTTCCTCCAGCTAATAACCAACTACAATATAAATATGGGGGGAAAATACCAACGAAATATAACATGCGTACGACACTTTCACAAAATACACAAATCTAAGTCCAAACTTTGCATCATTTTGGTGGTTCTGTCTGATTGGTAGCAGTGAGCTGTTGGTAACTATACACTTGTGACGGTGGCTGTTGCTGCTGCTGCTGCTGCTGCTGCTGCTGTTGTTGTTGTTGTTGTTGTTGTTGTTGTTGTTGTTGTTGTTGTTGTTGTTGTTGTTGCTGCTGCTGCTGCTGTTGTTGTTGCTGTTGTTGCTGCTGGTAATATTGTTGGTAATAGTTCTGCTGTGGATTGTACTGATCCTGGGTATATTGCGTATAATAACCTGAATACGTCGGTTGCGGGGATGTTTGATCACCAGTACCCTGTGTGTTGGTTGTCGCGTGTATGGTCGTCGCGGCCGGCGTATATGATGTGGTCGACGTTGAATAAGTGCCTTGAGCTGTAGAGGCTGGTTGGTTGGTTATGCTTGTATACTGAGATGGGGTTGATTGGGTTGCGCTGTAATTATACTGATATTGTGGATACCCATATTGTGACGCTGTAGATACTGTTGTCGAATCTTGTTTGACTTCAGCTCCTTGGACTGGTTTACTAGAATCGGCGGGCGTTGGTTGAGTTGGATAATAACCTGTCTTAGTGAACGGAGCTGTTAAAATACGTCAGCATAAAATTCGGCTAGAACATTAGTACGTTGTCATTGCAAACACTATCACTTTACCTTGAGACTGAGCCAGTGGCTGACTTAGTATCTGATTGACTGGTTGTCCTGTACTTGCTGGTTGTCCCGTTGACTGTGCTGCGGTCTGTCCAACTGTTGGTTGCTGTTGACCATATTGTGATTGTTGTGGATATGAACTATACTGTGGTTGTGTTTGATATTGACTATAAGTAGCTGGAGTCTGACCGTAACCACTATATTGACTATAATTAGTTGACGGTTGCACTCCGGAGGACGCGTATGTCGTAGCTGTATAACCACTAGATAATGATGGGTTATAATCACTACTTGTATTGGTTTGCCCGTAAGTATTCTGCTGCGACGTCTGCACCGGATAACTACTTTGTGTATAACTAGTTTGTTGATATCCAGTACCCTGCTGATAGTTGCTGCTCTGTGGATAATTGCTTTGCTGGTATCCACTCGTCTGTGGGTAATTACTATTCGGCTGATATCCACTAGTTTGCTGATAGTTGCTGCCCTGCGAATAGCTTCCTGATTGTTGATATCCACTCCCGCTTTGTTGATACCCACTTCCGCTCTGTTGGTATCCGCCACTAAAAATACATAATAATGCTTAACACATTGAAATCGTACCGATAACAAAGAATGTTCATTTCATGTCTATTATTACCTTCTTCCATGGTCCTGATGTCGGGGCCTGTCACGCTGTAAACGAAACGAATGCATGCGACAAACAACGGACAACAAATAGAAGGAATGCGATACATACATCAACAACAAACAAATCATTATCATTACGGGCAAAGCATTTTTACGACAAAAACGATAGCAAGAGCACTCAACAAGCGATGTAGATGACATATACATTTCCAGACGCAGCTTTTTCAAGAATTAAAGATTTCGCAATAGCAACAGTCTCAGATGTCCCTACAACGATTTACGTCAACATAAACGCAAAGCAGCAATCGAACGACTGACATTGAATCGATAGGTCGGGCAATTGTAGCATGTGCAAGTAGAGTAGTTAATTTTCCTTACACTTACCGATTATGTGTACATTTCTATCCGCCGTCGGTGGTCCGTGGTCAGGTTCTATTTGAATCTTGGCTCCCGATTGCTGTTGAAGCGCCTTAACTGTCTCACCGCCTGGGGATAAAGAAAACGTAAGAAGAGATATAAAACAAATAATAACAATAATAGTGCAATCATAAGTACCCTTCCCAATTATCAATCCGACTGTATCATTCGGCACTTGAATAGTTATCTTTTCCTGAGAAGACTTCCCCCCAGATCCTCCATATTGACTTCCTGAACCATAGTGACTCTCGTAGCTGTTTCCGTGACTCTCACCGCCATACATACTACCGCCATAACTGGAACTGCCATATTCTCTAGGTGTTGGCTTTACGCCCCAAAAAATTCGTATAGAACGTTATAATATATCGTCTCATCTGTCATATTAATCAACGCTTGCATTGGCATCATACCCTATCCAGAGCAGCATCTCCTCCCTTAATAATTTCATCAATCAACGCTTTTGCTCTCTGTATTGCAGCATCATCACCGATCAAAGTTACCGGACGATCTGTAGATTGAGGATTAGCAGCATTATCTGGAGTAACATTTATTCTCGCTCCACTTCTATCTTGCAAATCACGTATCGTTTCACCACCACGGCCTATTACAACGCCAACTTTACTGCTTGGAATATGAATAGTAACAGTAGCGCGACTAGGCCCATAATCACTACGACGATTTGCTTGGCTGGCGAGAGCATCATCTACTAGGGATCGAATCATTGAGCGTGCACTCCTAACTTCCTCTGGCGGTCCAGATATAGAGACACGTCTATCAATACAGTCGGGAGGTTGATCTTAAAAATTAAAAAAGTCAATAAGAGTGAGTGCGAACGACGTAATGAGTTCACAAAAACTGTGATTAGTCTACATTGTTGGTTATACTGCTAACCTTGTGAAAATTGAACTCTCGCTCCTGTAGTCTTTTCTATCCTCTTTAGATTTTCACCACCCCGCCCAATGACCAATCCTACGACCACGTTAGGCACGGAGAATTCCTCGAGAATGTGCCCTGAACGTAATGAGTCTCCAGGACCATAATGTGATCCATGTTGTCTATGACGTTCCTCACTTCCAAGACCGTAACGGTGTCTACTTCCGCTTTCATCTGATACAGAAAAGTGTAGTTAAGGCATTGCAATGTTATCAAAAAGTTGTTTGAGCTGCAAAAAAAGGCTATTTGATCCATTAAAAGCACTAGACTGAATAATAATCGGAGGATACAATCAGGACGGGATGATCCACTGTCATAAATAGCTCTCTTAGACTCACGACCATAATCATCATATCGATTTCTCTCCCGCCGGCTATGTGAATCTCTCCTGTAATCATCGCGATGATCATCTCGTTTATCTCTTGAAATATGTGACATGTAGCTATCGTCATGAGGACGCTTAACCCCCTGATTACCACCATGACTATGGCTATGACTTGGAGAAGGAGCCTCGGCAGCGCTTGCTACAGTAGCCGTTGTTGACGGTGTAGTCTGTTGTTGTTGCTGTAATTTGGCAGCTATAGCTCTAACCTTTGCCATCGCATCGTTAAACGCGGAGCTGGTCCCAGCAATATTCGCATTTACCACCGGTTCCTCTGCATTCGTAGAGGATTCTGCGACAGGTGTTATTTCAGTTTGGATCTCTGTTACGTTCGTAGTAGTAGTGGTGGTAGTGGCGGTGGTCTCTGATTGCTCGCGATTTTGGATTATATTCTGATCAGTATCGTCACTTGACTGCTCGTCAACAGCTGTTGTAGGGGGGTCAGCGCTGTGCGTCTCAGTTGCGGGTGATTGTTTGTCAGCTATCTGTTCAATTGCTTCTTCTTGAGCAACGATTTCTTTTTCAGGTGAAGGCAAATCGAGGCCAGCATTTGCGGGTTCGACGGAGACGGTCGTCTCTATTGTCTCAGCGGACGTTGTGGTTGTCTGATCTTGATTCTCGTTTTCGTCCATGATGCAATGAATTTGATAGGAAGAACTGGTTATAGCATTTCCAAATCACATGACGTTAACAATCAATGATAATGGTGCGAGTATTTATGTTAGGGCAAATGTTTCCCGCTTTCAAACGCATCCCTAAGCGCACTTGGGATGTCCTCTGTCTTATGCAACACCAATAAGGACGAGCCGTTACAATACGGAAACGAGTCGTGGTTTAGCATAATAGCTCACAGTAAGGTTAAACTTTAGTGGTTACACACCATAAATTTTATGTCAGAAAATTAACGAAGCCATTGTACTTGTTTTAGTCAAAAATAAACAATGTGTTATCCTACTACTGTAAAAATTCTTTATAAACTCAGTTTTCAACATTGTTTCATAACATTGACGCACCAGCAAAACATACGTCTCAACAATAAGAATTTAGCTGGCCCTTATAAATAAACTGTGCGCCCTGTCACAAGCGTATTTGTGTCTCGAGGCGCGATTTTATGTCACGGAAAATGTAATTTTCGTTGCAAAATAGATAACTGATTGCAGTCTTGCTAATGCCGAGTACAGATAATGAAGGACGTAATTTATTGCGAAAACTGATTTAGGACTATCCAAAAGCTTAACTTGACATTATGACAGAAGAGATTCGCAGCAATACATGAAAACGTTGTGCTAAAATTCTTCTACTTTATCAAACCATCAATATTTCATCCTTAAGTATACCGACCATTACATTGTTGGTATAAACATTATCGTTGAATTAACAAATAAACGAGAACCCTCAAAAATGTGATTTTTTGATTTTGCTCACAGTATTCCAACAGTTATTGGTTAACAGATTGTATCCTCCATCTTGTCTAGCAGTTTTCATGAGGTCACCAACAGTTTGATTGCCTCTTGGGACGAGAACTTCCCCAACAGACTCCCAATTATTAGACATGTGTCTTGCCTCAGTAATGACCTGAGCTCCACTTGCATCAGTGCTATGAACTAGATACTGCTCTCCGGCTTTAGTGGTAACGCAGATACCTTCGTGATAAACGAAAGGGAGAGAGCCTCCGGTGAGCAACTTTCTTTTAAAGACCTGTGCGCTCTCCACAGGAGTATTGTACAAATTGGTAAGTCTTCTTTTGTCATAATCATCTGATAATTGTAGAGCAAAAAAAGAGTAGAGACAATAATAAGAACGTCTACCATTCAAAAACACGTTTGCAAAAATTCGACATACGATGGCAAAATACACAAACCCGGAGTTGGTCTAACAGGTCCTCCGCTTCCACTACTACTACTACCGCTGCTGCTACCGATAGTACTGGGGTTGTTGCCCATGGTTGTTATTGAAAGTATAGATAAAAACAACTGGTGAAACGGGGTAAATATAGGGATTGACAAGAGAATTTTCTTTGAAAAAGCAAAGAGAAAAGAACAAGCCGAGACTCAAATCCTCGGAGTAAACGTTTAAAAAGGGTACAAAGCCAAGCCCGTGTAACGTCAACTATGGGTTTTTCATTGTTTTCCTCACAAGGGTTAGCATAATGCACATCAATCAAATCAGGAAAATTTACTATAGTAATCGACATGCTACAACTTTCGACCGGAACTTAGTCCTGAACAACGTGAGCCTCGCTTCCAATTAAAGCGTAGCTAATTCCTCTTTCTATAGATAAACTCTCACTCGATAATTAAATTACATGTTCGATTTTTCAATACAAGTATTCGTATTGCTAGAAGGAACTTTTCTGGATACCACTCGCCTGTTAAGACTATTTAATTTGTTCATATTACTATTACTATAAGATAATCACCTAAAATGCGCAGTACGATTGCTCCGTTAAAATTACCAGATTAAAGATTTTTGGAAGTAGGGCGTGCGGCATAATGTGTTAGCACTTTTTGTCATACCTATGTAATTACCGAATAATGACAACGTTTATTAGTACGAGATGAATCAATTCTATTCATACCGACTTTTGCTCGAATTAGTTTATCGGCGTAGCCTTGCACTTAGTGCATTATGAAACAGATGCTATATAACATAAAGTATATGACTGTAAGATTGGAGTTCCGATATCTCGCTCTTGCTATATCCTTATACATGGCTACGCCTACTTTCATCACTAATCTGAAAAATCTTGCATATAACATTCTCAAAACTTTCGAAGATAGGTTCCAGAATTAGACGAGTGTTCAAAATGTAGTAATAAAATTTTTTTACACCCCATAAAAGCAGCATAATCTTATCGTGTGGTCATATTTTTTTAGAACTGTTACTTTCGCTAAAAGAATCATGTCCTTATCCTAAGTGTAATAATCTCGTTGACATTCTTGAGGAATTTTCCAGGCGAAATTCTGGATTGAGTACGTCGTCAATAATTGGTAGGATGGAAAAATAGTATCTCAGGGAAACGCGGATGAAATATGATGGATGTAAATGACTCGCGAAGCGAAATCTGAAGCGAATGAACAATGGTCACTCAATAAAATTTAACCATTTCATAAAAAATCGATGTGATCGTTAACATTGTTAACGATTCCATCCAATCACATCACCCCAATTAATTATTTTTTTGTCGGAAGGTAATGACGACGACGCAAATGCGAACTCATCGTCTTGGGATGGTTAGACTCCGAACTAAGTGGGATAATTATAGTCTATATAGACTATAATTATCCCACTGAGTGATGAGAAAATAAGGGACTAAAAGCAGAGAATGGTCAAGAAAATAAACGATTAAAAGATAAAGAGCAACAAGATGGTCAAAATTGATCTTGATTAAAAGTAAAGAAGTTTTTATAAGTAAATTTTTCTTGATCTAGATATTATTGGAGAGTTTGGGTATTGTTGAATTTAAAAACATATGGAGTAATTTTTTCTCCTCGAGTTTTTTTTTTAAAATACTTATAAAGGTGCTGTAATTCTTGGGTATTAATGTAAACTAGTTTCATATTAATATAAAGATAATACTATATCAATCCTGTTGTGATCACATTCTGGTATGATAAAGTGAACATTAAAATTAACAAGTCCATAAGTTATGAATTATTACCTTTTAAATGGTATCAGTCACATTGGTCAATTTACAGCCACATCATAATCAGCCCCTCATTTATAGAACGTTCACTTTGTCTGGTTTTGTTGCAGGATGCCCCATATTATATTCTCCATCAGCCTTTCTATACCATTTGTAGTAATTATAAATATAAAACAATTAACAATCTTTCTAATCTAACTGCTACTCTTAGTAACGCACGTTGAAACAATCCTTCTGTTATTGCTATTATGAATATGGGTTCAACGAGAATGCAAAATTAAAGTTGCGGAAGGATAACATCTCGTTCAGGCTTGTAGCTATTCCAGCAATTAATAAAATCGCGTCTTTGAAAGTGGCACCAGACATTAAACCCGATGACGGAAAGTAAGTTGATTGCACCATAAACAAGTGAGAGAATGTCGCTATTGAAATAAATCAAATTAAGCGACGCCATTATAACAAGTCTTAGTGAAAAGCTTAATGGCAATGTATAAACATATCGGTTTCTTTTCTTCCGCAACTCCACGCTCTGCCCGTGGTGATCAGGTGTCTCTTTGAATCTTATTCATACCGACTCCGGACTATCCAAAGCATAATGACCGTATAAAACTTTTTGCCTAGGGTAGATTTTGCATGGAGGGAAAACAAGCCTTTTTTGCTTCCAATAAACAATGATCCTAAGCACACGAGTTCTGTTTCAGAATTTCTTCAAGTTGACATGCCGAAGTTATCGACTGGCCGTCCAATAATAATCCAAACCTCAACCGTATAGAAAATTCATGGGATATTGTTAAGGAAAATTTAGAGGAACACCTATTTAATAAACTATTCCCTTCCCCTGATGGTAATAGTAAGACACGATATACCACTCTTGTGTTACTCAGAAACTATAAATATAATCATGGTTACATCTTAAATCTATAAATTAATAAATTAAATCGTTTTATTAAATTAATAAGTAATATATTACACATGTTCGTTTGAAGCTAAATCCTTATAATCTTTGATTAAAATATCCCTTATCTTAAATAAACCAGTTGATTTCATTGCTGCCCTTACGGCCGCATCATTGTGACATGCAAAAGTGTTAATAGTAGATACAAAATGTCTTCGTACTGAAGTAGTAGTAATTACGGATGTTTTCGTCGTCGATGGTGAGGGAAGCGTGAAAGCTGAAGAAGTGGTGTCAAATGGAGACGAGGAATAATAAATACTTTTGCAAATGTGATCATCTAAATGTCTATACAATATTAATAGATTTCTAAAAATGTAATTAGAAGTGTCTATATTCACATTCGGATTCTTATCATAATAAGAAAGAATTATATCTATTATTCGCAATTCAAATTTCTCTCCTTCGTTGTCAGTGTCGTTTGGTATGCTAGCCGGTGATATACAAGACGAAGGTGAAGATGAAAGTGTGGATGACAGTGTGGATGAAAGCGTGGACGGAAGGATGGAAGATGAAATCGCAGCGGAAGATGTGAGAGCTCCTTTACATTTTGTAGTTATCGAATTTTTCCTCGATATATCATATATAACCATCTTCTGGACTATCGTGTCAGTAATAGCAAGGAAACGATTGAAGTGAGCTGGTTCTAACAACGCTCGTTCTCTAATACATGTTATGATCCAATCGATCCAGTTGTATTCCCAAAGTATTCGCATGTTGTCTGGAGTCAATACTCGCTTGACATCAGCCAATACTTGGAAGACTAGCTCTGTATCTCGGCTAACCGTCAATAAGTCAAACAGTAGTCGAATAGCCTCTGGATATACCAACTCGTCAGCTGCTTTATGCGATAAATTATCCTCTGATATCCGAAGAGTAGTTCTCCTGAATATGGGCTTATCACTGATTGTAGAACTATTTCTTGTTGTTGGATTACATTGATAGGTGTTAGTTCCAATTCCCAACACCACACGAGTTAATTCTAAAGACAATGGGTAATTTGTCAAGTGGGTCTTCAACTGATCGAATGCATTTGTTTTTGTGAGAAAAGTTCGGCTGTGTTTGACATTAGAGCTCATCAAGATGCCCATCATCTTCAAGCTTACTATTCGAAACTTCTCATTGGGAACGTTGAGGAATAACGTCAAATGTGAGAGTCCTTTCAATCCGCGAATTTTTTCCAATAATGAGTTGTCACATGTCATTCTTTTGTAGATCATTTCCAACATGTCGTATTTGACGTCCATGTCATTTGCGTTGTCAGGCGAAATATAATCGAATAATTTCGTTAATTCTTCCAGTGTCGATTCAGCCAACATTGTCTCTAACGCTTTCATTATAAAAGGCCGAAGCGTTGGTGGAAGAGTGTCGAGTAATTGAAACAAAATATCCAATTCAAAGCTACTCTTCCACGTTTTCAGATTGCACGGTAGTTCAACTATCATATCTACTAATTTGCGCACAACTGCTAACTGAACATGCTCCTGGCTAACAAACAAAAGATCAATGATCACTCGAAGACAGGCAGTGTTCACAATGACCATCTGGTTGTCACGCATGATGCCATCACATGTTATGTCTAATAAAACATCAAAATGGTCTTCCTTCAAATTCTTAGTATCTCTTCCAAGTAAATCTCTCAAGATGCCGAATCCGTTCTGTTCAGTGAATTTTGCAACATTTTGGGGGCTTTTATACAATAAATTAGATATTGTTCGCAATCCGATTAATTGATATTCTTGATCCATCTCCAGAAATCTGAAACACAACTCGACTCCTCCTGCTTGTTCGATAATACTTCTCATTGATCTTGTCGCATGCAGCGTGCATCCGCCTTCCACTCTGCCAACTACCTTGGAGAATTCTGTCAATTCAGAACCCTTGCGTGATTTATCTAACTCTAATGTCTTGTTCTGTTCATCACTCAAATACGCATATGGATGAATTGCTAGCACCTCCCTATTCTCAATACCTAATGTCCGATAACTCCTACCATATGCTGGTCCTACATTGAATACTTTCTCGGCCATAGAAAGATCCCATAATCCACGGAAGAAATACACTGAACCAATCTGACCACAGAAATATCCATATGATCTCTCATTGGGGTCAGAATTGCTTCGTCCGTTGAGATATGAGTGACAGGCAGTTGGCCAAGACTTGCAACATTTTCCTAAAACAGCAACAAATGCCTTATCTTTGCTATTAACCCTTGGATAATTATACATATTATACGATTGTATTGATGATCCATCAACAATCAACGATGTGCTCTGCTTACAGTGAACGAAAACGATATGATGCCAGATGCCAGCCTCACCGAAATCGAACCCATCGAATACAAAGTCCTCCGCTGGCAACGGCCAATGCTGAGTTCTTACGCAAAGGCAGTACCTGTTCGATTCATCCAATCGTTTGAAATAGAGTTCGAATGTCGTATTGTTTCCAGCTTGATCCTCGTAAGAGAGCAATCCTGTCTCATCCTCAAAAAATGATGTAACCTTAACCCAAAGACTAACAGTATATCCACGCTTACTAGTTGGAAATTTCTCTAAAGCAAATGTCCGGAAGCTACTATTTACTCCATTAAAATTGAAGTAGCAAGGAGGATCCATTCTTTCGGATATTCGTTCTATTGCATATATCATTTGTGATTGAACCTCTCTAATAAAGAAAGGATCAAAACTGATTTCATGAACTTTTTCCGAAGCCGAAAATGCTTGTACAACAGGCTGCAGTATTCCCGTAATAGACCTCCTTCGAAATCCTCTGCCAACAAAATGACCAAACATGCTCAACGGGTCAAATGCTGCATCGAAAAGAAGTGTGATATCCGACGTGGTAATGTCGTATGCCCCCAATGTAGGAATAAGATCGACGTATGAAGGAACTTTAGTGTTGAGAGATTTGCCTTTAAGAAATAAGACTTCGGTTACAAATTTTAATCCCCTGTTTGCACACAACATCTCCTTATTGCGTGGATTAACTTCCATGAGAAGCATCAAAAGTTTAAAATAATCGTTATGCAATGTTTCATCTGTGCTATCAGCCACATATGACAATAGTTTCAACGCCATCATTGCAGCATCTGCGTCTCTAAATTCAATTCCCGCTAAACTACGCAGCTTAGTACTGGTCGGCGTACCATTTTGCACTACAGAGTTGGAATTTATGCCGAATGCACCCAAATTTCTTGAGTTGCTACGCTTGCGAGTAGATACTGACTTCTCTTCTTCAAGATTGTCCGACATCCGGCGTGAATCCACTAACGTTGGACTGGGAAGCTCCATACTGTTGCAACGCTGTAAATCGGTGGTGTTGGCGCTTAACAAACTAGGGTAGGGTTCGGACACAACACTTGCGGTCACATTCTCTTCATTTACTGTCGCAAGGGTGCTTTGATAAGGAAAAGTGCCGTTACGAGCGTTTGCATCTGATAAACTTCGACAGTATGAGAAAAAAGCTTGACTATGAATACTTATTCGCTTGCTCTCGTTCTTGTGCTGATCATGGGTTTCTTGATTTACACTTTTCTTGAAAACAGTTCGCCGTTTTTGGGTGAATGGTAATACTTTCTTGAACAATGGCTTAGGCGTCAGTAAATTAGAGATAAACGGCATTATATTACAACTTATTGAAAACGGCTCAGACTCTATTGGGGATGATGACAAGGACAAAAGAACTTTCCCAACCGTTGCGACTTCGAGAATAATCTCGCAACATAATCTAAAAGTGAATCGGATAAACAGTACACAATTAGCATATTGCAATCATTAACCATAAAATGTCATCAACAAAAACATACATGTCAATTGGTGCCGAAGAAGCATGAATGAGTTCAAGAAACCCATCATATGCGAAATTATCACCAAGTAATTGTTCCGTTTTCTCAGATCCAGCAAAAAAATCTCCAATAGTTAAAAGTGCAGCCGTTGCGACTTTAGATTCATACGTATGACTGAGAATAGCCAAGAGAACTCCTAGGCCATCAAGTTCACCGAACGGCTTCTTCACCTGTTCACTCTTTCGGAACACAGACGCAACAACGTTACATACTTTCGTCTGAAACCAGGGAAATCTCGTACGCTCGCGACGGCTATGGCAGATAGTTGGTAAATTGGATGACAATAGTTCGTCAGAGTCGAACGCATTCTTGTTTGGTTCAGTTGATGAGTTGGGGGGACTGATCTTAGTAAGTATTTCTTCCAATAGTTTAACTAGCCACTAGAACAAACGAATTTTGTGTTAATGGGTTTCAAATACATTTAATAACAGTATTATCTACGACGTGCTAACCTTGATAATGTGAGATTTTCCTTGGCCACAAACAATGTATTCTCTCACCAACCATAGTGCCATATCAGCCACCATTACATCCTCCGCCATAGGTTCATCGTGTCTGCGATTATCTATTCCAGTATCTGTTGCTCCCGCAAGCTCATGCGGAGTATATACAACAGATCTTATAATGACATCATTCAACGTCTCAAAACCCTGTAAGCTATCAAATAAGTCCATGTCTCTTCCTGTTAAATCAACTAGTAGACCTAAAATCTGTAAAACTAACAAATGCTGTTCAGTCATAAGCAATCTTTCAAGGTCATCTCTCGGTGTATAGTCCGTTCCCTCGTGAATGTTCCCATTGGTTGTCTTGAGATCCTCATTGTCCTCATTAATACTGTAAATGCGGCGTAACAACTGAATATATATATCCAGAAGTTTATTGTCTAATTTATTCTGTCTGCTCAACGTGTCTACAAGCAGACGCGACACGCTTCGAAGTATAATATTTACTACAGCATTTCGTGATGGAATAGGAACCCGCATTAGAATTCGAGTATACTCCTGTAAGATGTACGTGTTATTCTCAATTAACATAACAGCAACATATTCCAATAATCGTGTTACGGCCAGGATATATCGGTAGACGTGATTAGATTCAATAACTTGCGCAATCGGCGAGTTTACAGCGAAAAGCGAAGGCGAACTTGAGTTTGAGTCCATTGCGATTGTCAAGTACTTTAACCCTGCAAACGCATTCATGTTTGATAAAGATTGCTCGTCCAGTTTTAAAACGGCTGTTATCTGCTTTGCATCGCCGTCGACGATGAGAACGTCGTTCAGTGTTCTCAAAAGTAAATCAACGCCACCCATCTGCCAAGCCACAACCGCATTAAGACAGTTCACTGATAGTATATCTTGAATACAATTTAGGGCGTGTTGTCGAATATCCAATTGAGAAGAAGTGACTGCAATACGGAACAATAAATTCAGAGACTCGACGTTACCGACAAACTACAAAGTAGAATACAGTTTTAATACGATGAATCTACTTGGCCATCACTTGTTTTATCGTTGTCATAATTCAATACTTACCAAGTCATCATTGCCATCCAATGTAATAGCGAAGAGGACATCGAAACAATCTTTTGAAAGCGTGTCACGCTCTTCGCAAGATTGCTCCATCTCGTCGTCTTGTATAACGTCCACACCACTCTCTTGATCATTCTTCGCACTTGATATTGACCGACTGTCGCAAAGGTGAAGCCGTTTTACTGCTGCTTCAATCTCGTCCGAGCTAGGAGTCAAGACACAAGAACTTCTACTAATGACATGTGTTAGACCTTCAGTAAGAGCTAACAAGCCTGAACTTTCCAAAGGGACAATCGCTCCTTACCTCCACCTGTCATTCTGTTGAAGAAACTCGAGATCCTCGTCTGCATACCCATCTGGTAATTTAGGAAACACCTTCCCAATCTCGTTTACTACAAGTTCACGCACTTCGGCAACTACTTGCGATACTTTGCCTCCCACAACATTCCTCAGAAATGTATTTATTAATGTTGTTATCCTGTTAATGTAAAGCATTCTTGAGCAGGTGTGGAGCAGAAACTCTAAATGCTCTGCTCCTCAGAGCAATGCGTATAGTGCGCCAGACTGCTCAAAAGTACGTTTAGGTGTGTCTAACACTTTTGATGTGGCAGATCTCCCTGTAATGATAGTTGTTTATATATTGCAGTGCTAAACCTCCTTAATTAGGATATGAAATGTCGATCATCGATCATTTTGTAGTTGATATGGAAAATCCATTGGATAATCGAATATTGGCAACTAACGGGAAATAATCGTGTTATCAGCTCATCAACACAAATTTATGCAAGTGTACAAAAGTATTTGCTGGTTGTCGATCGCTTGAATTTCAATTGGCGTTGTGGACGATGTCGTATCCCGAATGAGTAAACGTGTGACTAATAGAAAGCGCAAAATCCCAATTCGAGTAAACTAAGACGCATTTAAATCAACAAATCTCCGTCATTGGAACAATTGTGATTTCCTATCCATATACTATATACGGGATGTCCATTATTCACGTGATTTAAAATTTCGTAATTTCGATGGGATATTTGTGTATCCGCGCGGGTGTTATCAAAATGCCACAAAAAGATTTTGTTGCATTACGAATGACGTTTGGTTTCAGCCACAGTATTATTCAAGATGGCTGAATCTCGGTGCACATGCAAAAACTGTCCATATGCGTATGATAATACGAATACTATTAATAATGTACCATTTGTGCATTGTGAATAGAAAACCAATGGAATTTTAGCATCTAATACGATCTCTCCCTATACTAAAATAAAAATGTACTAATATAAATAACGGTTATAGAAAATTTGGACCTGTCTACATTTGTATGTATATGTAGCACTAATCTTAGTCCATTCGCCAGCAAGTATAGATTCAAACCAAATTAGTAATTGAATAGATTTCTTTCCAATAACCAGGAGCACGTTTAACAGATTTTGACGGTTCGATCTTTAACAGTAAAGATCAGAGGTGGGGGAGATCCGTTATACATCTTTTTGCAACCAATAAAGGATGAAATACAATGTTACATGCATAAAATAAATACAACGAATAGAATTTTGATCCACGTTTCTGCAAAAAAAACCACGTTCTCCGGATAAACCTGTTGCGGGAAAGAAGATCCTACTATGCAACCAAGAATGAATTAATTGAATGCCAACCAGCAATATATGTGTGCGTGTCATATTATGAAAAGGGCGCGATTTTATTTGATTGGGACAACAAAACCTATCTCGGTGTTACAGTCACTTTAATCACGTGATTTACGGATTTATGTCCCCAACTTGGATAATTTGTTACTGTAGTTATAGTATTAGTATTAGTATGCATTCCATTTCATCTTATTACCCATTTCTTTAAAGTCCATCAATATTGTGCTTTGAATTACGAAAAAATCAATGTGCGTCCAGCGGCTTAGACTAATAAAAAATATAAATAAAAAGGCGGAGAATATAAATTACATAATAGCTAATATTGTGTTATTTCAATCAAAATAAAAAGGGAAAATTTTCCATCGAATAGCTTGTGATGTAATGGCCACCTAAAGAAGGTACCCAACACTGTTTTTCGTACAAATGATTCACTATTTGGCAAAGAAAGATATTGCATCGAACAGAAGAGATAGACAATGCTGGAATGAAAAAAAAGCTTTCATGACTTTCCGAACTTTCGATATAACTAATTGAGTACTCCAAACATGAATATTTTGAAACCTTAATAAATTCAAAATACTGAAAGATATTGGGGTAACGAAAATTTCGGGTATCAGTTTTTTGGAGAAAAAAAAACTATTCTTAATGTATCATAAAACCTTTTTTCTCACAAATTCGTTTTGCATTCGAACGGCCGTAAGATCTCATTTGACATAGGTCTGGTTCGAATGGACATAAATTTCAAAAACAGCACTATTCTAAGCTTGTTTGCTTATTGTCATGTGTTGCCTATAATAGCCGAACATTCTACGCGCGAATACTTTGACCAGATCAGGTTCGAATATAGCAGCTCTTAACAAATAGTAGCAAGAACAGTGGAATTTTTGAGAGACTTGGAATGTCTCAGTTCTCATTGCAGAACTAATACTACCCGTAATTACGGATAATTTTTTCTAGTGCTGAGGGACAAGGCATTATCTGATTTTCATATTCGAAAATTACTCCAATAACATGATTGCAGAAAAAGAAATAGATGGTAAACGGTAATCCTCAAATCCAACATAGACGCGAACTATTCCCTGGTCGCAATATCACTAGGAAGAAAGATTCCGATCATAGAACGTCTGTAATATGAACGAGGAAAATTATCGATTGTCTGCCGCTACTACAAGGTGATTCACTTAATTCATATCACCCCGTCGTCGAAAACGTGACTATCGCGATTACAACCTATTCAATATTTATGCCAGTTAACTTGAGGAGGAAACGAATAAAAATATCATAGACTATTTCTTACATTTAAATTTGATTTCATTTTTAAGATTTCATTACGTTATATATTTCATAGATGCAAAGTGCGACTCTTCACCACCGCCGAATCTTTCCTCACACTGGCAAATTCATGTCTTTAATCATCCTGTCTAATAAATGCGAGATTGGGCAGAGAAAAAAAAACTCTAATTTTCGTAATTGGGGAATATCCAATATTTGTGATGACGGTTACAATGCGATAATGTTTATTTGCTGTATTTATTAATCTAAGTGTCATTTAGAATAATCAATCATCTTCCGAAGATGTTGCGCCACCGACATAATTTTCGTCAAATTCTTCTTCTACGTCGCTCTCGGTATCTCCAGCTTGGAAATCTTCGTCAACTGCCGTGAGTAAACAGGAATTGAATATGATGAACCTACATACATGTACAATCTCTCATAATGTATCTTACCGCTGTCCTCATCTATGTCCATGTCATCCTTGTAGCCATCACCAGGACGGATAGATCTTCGCGGTGGTAGTTCAGTATCATCATCATCCTCTCCTAACTCTGCATCCAGTTGATCATACGAAATAGTGCCCTATTTAAGAGAAACAAGTATTAATAAATATCGTATAATCATGAAAATGACAACATCGTCAAGCGTATATCGTGCATACGTCATCATTCATCTCATTAGATGTTTTGATTCCTTTACTTTGAATGAAAGATTCTAAATTATTGTACTCTTCTCTATAAGTCAAGGTCAAAATAGAATATTAGCAATGGAGCCATTTGCAAGACATGCTCAAGCCATAAACGGTTTACCTATTTATACTCGAGAACTGATAATCAACGCCACTCTTCATATTAAACCTCAAGTCAAATGTTCTCGAAGTCGACAGATTCCCAGATACTCTCGAAAATGTGACGTTGTCGATATCCACATTAGGAATAAACGTCGTCGGTTTAGGAATAAACAGAAAGCATTTTTCAAGCGGATATAAGTAGCCCTCATTTGCTTTCATAGAGCATTTCACTGCAGATGCAGAGTGATGACTCCGGTACTTGTTGGGAACAGTAACCTTACGCTGTGATAACACTTTAAATAATGTGCTAACAACTTCGTACGTCGGGGCTTCGTACTTGGGTTCTAATTTCCCGTCGTATTGTGTGGCTAGAACTTCTTCATCTATGTTCAGCACCACATCTGTCTCTTCATCTTTAACAAATTGCATTACCAGGAACGGGTAACGTGTTTGTCCTTGGCGTATTGGCGGATCTAGACCAATCTAACGGAAATAGATGTCAACTTTTGCTGAATAAGGGGGAAAAATAAATGATCGGAATTGGAATTAATACCAACCACAAACATAGTATGAATCTCATCTAATTTTGGCAATAAAAACAGTTTGATGATGCTTGAATATTGTATCTTGTAATCGTATGTCTTGCCGCGAAGTCGAAGGAAAGAAGAAAACATCTCAATGTCATAACGACCACTACAATAGATTTACGACGTTAATAGTTTGTCAGTAAAATTCAAAGCGCTCCCAAGCAAAAAATTTACCGTGGTGTAAGCAACAATACACTCGAAAATAGAACGATGCCATCTCCGGAAACTTGGCCAAGATCAGCCAATTCTTTGACGGTATCATGAAATATCTACGTCGCGCATAGAATTATATATTAGTCATTATCTAACTAATATCAATGACATACGCCCTCCCATCCTTGCAACTTACCGCGGCCGCGCTTCGCTCTTCCATCTCCTCGGCTTCATTCTCTTTATCTCCCTGACTCGTTTCCCCATCTTCACCACTCTTAACTAGTGTCGTCCCCGGTATAAAGAATCTCATTTCGACCAATTCATGTGTTGTTTGTCGTTTGATTTTCCGTTGAGCATCTTCATCCATCTGTTCTGGTTGCATAAACTCGATTCCTACTTCATTCTTGTTAGCAAGACTCGTGTTTGCAACTTGATTGAGTGGAAGTTCAAACATTGTTTTATTGCCAACATTAAAAAGGAGTTGTGATCCCTGAAATTCCGTTTTCCCCCAATTCCATCCTTTCACACTGAGCTCTTTGATCTCGAGGTTTAGTTTGTAATTAGCGCGTATTAAGTCTTTTAGAGTATCATAGTCCTAGAAAACAAAGACGAACAAGCGTTATGCGACACGAGTATGGATGTTTAGAGCTATGTCATAATACATGCTTCATACGTCTTTTATAAATCCATCAAACTTCATAACATTTCCATTCTTCAATTGTATTCTTAGTTGATAATTACGAGCAACACGCAGCCATTGTATCTTTCTGAATTCTTCTGAAGATGCAGTAACGACTCTATCAGTTTCGGGCGTTTTCCATCCTAAACCGGTGGGGGCAAACTTGAGCACTCCCGGCTCATTGCCTAGGCCAAAGTATATATTCTGCATCTGAACTGACGTTGTCTCTCCCATTGTGTGTATGTATGTTTGTTAAAGAAAGTTGAGTGGGGGGTAGCATAGTGACGCGTTGTGGAGAATGATGTTGCTATTTCTGTTGCGCCACGTTGATCCAACCAATCATTACTTACTCGAACAAGAACACATCAGTCACAATGAATAGCAAAGGAGAAATCACAGTGACAGAAATTATCGGCTGGCTCGTTTTGTTTTTAGTTGTGACATTGGACATTTTGCTGGTGAGTTCGCTTCACAAAATAAAACGGTTTGATAGCCTTGTAAATTGTAAAATTCCCTGGTTCAATGTTAGCGAACGACCACGTGATGCGCTGCATGTACTGCAAAAGATATCCTGTAGCGGTAAATTTCATAAACACAGATGTTAGTCAAACATCCAATCGCGGGACAAACTAGATATATACGATAAATTCACCATTGGCAACCATGACAATTCTGCTTAAATAGAAAATGGCGGTATTTTGTAAACCATTCATCAAGATCTAACAAAGCTGTTTTCATTTTTATAACATTGAGCTTTATTTAATCCGGCTGTAGTTGATCTTCTCACAATATTATCCATGCAATCTACAGTTCTTTTCGGTAAAGTCTTCATGCTTAAGGTACCATGAAGCACTTTCGTAATATAGATAAAATCATTATTTTTTATTCTGACCACTAGCGTAATTTTTAAACAACTTTCACCTTTATTCAATCGCTTAATTCCATCAATTACTATGCTCAGCGTGCCATTAGGACTTTTTCGCGCAACTTCGTCATCATCAAGAACGTAATTAATTTGCTGCATACTGTGAAGAAGTTTGTTCAATGGCAGATCTGAAAATATATATTAATGCTCATGATGACTTGGGAGGATAAAAAGGACACATCTTAATACTTATCATCAACAAGTATGGAGAATTTCATGAGCTTGGTTGGTGCGCTATTGGTGATTTTGACGAAAATTGATTTTGCGTGTTCAAAGCATATTGTTCCTACAAAACAAAGCCCAGGATCAATCCAATTTAGTATAGAATACCAGCACTAATACTGCATGAGCATTTTCCGTCAGTCACACGTGACGAAAATCCCGTCAAAGATACATAAGTATTATTATCGTTTCGTGACGATTTTCAGTCACATACACAACGTGGGACGCTATAAATCATACGATTGTTCCATTAATTTTCATGACGAATTTTCCGTCACGGCAAAAACATATAAGAAGCTCGAACCCCATCATCAAAATAGCATGTTGAAATGTTTGACAGACTTAATATGTTTTATTGTTGAAATATTGGATAGATCTTTATTCAATAATCATTAAAAATAAACAACTTTGAAATCGAATTACTTTCTCTCTTTCATTGTTAAAATATTAATTAACCGGATATACCTCATAAAAGCTGTCAGGTTTCGGCATAAACGGCTCATTTAAGCTGTAAAATGTCCGTTGTTACCATACCATAACGTATTTTCTATTACTCAGATAATGTATTAATTTAAATTTAGGATTATTTTTAGAAATACATGCTTCAACTCGTCGTGGCATGCTTTTCACTAAATATATGCAGGAATTTGAGCCCACTCGTCCTGTAAGGCAATTTCTAACTCTAATATTTTTTGGATACGAGGTTCCAATTCAGGTCAGGCGATTGACTTGACCAATCCACTGAACGGGTGCATTGTTTTGTTGAAACATGTAACCTTAAATTTGGTACTATAAATCAGGTATTCTTCTCAGTACAGTTTTCCATCACAATAATTTTGAATTGTTCGTGTAATCATCATTTAGCAAAGCCTAGAGTCTTATTAATATCATTTCTCGAAAAACCAATAACCTGACAGCGCCCACTTTCAGTCATTTCTGAATTCTTAGACATTTTGCTATTAAAATGAAAATGGGTGTTTGTAGTTTGGACAAACTTTCATCACTGAAACTGTCCCTCAAACCCTTCCTGCCCACCCAGTGTCTCATTCGGACCCAGCTGGGGTCTCTTCACACCGGGAACAATGGAGAGTAGGAGAGCGTCATCAGCACTCATCGGTGGAGGGGGATAGCCCAGTGCGATGTTTTTCGTTAGTTATCTATTATTCAACTATATTTAATTTTGATCGCGGTTTGTTGTAGCAAGCCTTTTTTACAGTCTCGTGAAAGTTCGAGCCGGCTAATTTCTTATCACTGAGTGACGTTAGGGAGACGGAACCGGATCAATGGCTTTTTTCACTGAGGAGCAGGAGGTTAAGTTCTAACTTTAAGAAATATAATAAAATCTTGTCGTCGATACACAGTGAACCAAGCCTGGATATAATAAAAACCTGAATATAACAATCCTTCCTTCTATTTCTTACCATTGAGAATCATTAAATAGCCCACAGGCTTAAAGAAGTTCACTATAATATCACATCGCGAAGTAGCCGTGTGCGAGTAATTATGCGAACTATATTAAGAAAGGCGTGTTTGAAAATCATATGAAATGGTGGTTCGTGATTATGTAATAAACAGAGATAACGTAGACAGTTGTTACATTGTTTTTAAGGCGCAACCAAACATCCCATGAATAAGAGCCCCTTTATATGATGAAGGTGGGCTCTTATTCATGGCAGTTTACGGTACATATTAATATCCAACACGTTTTGTTTTCTCGAAGCAAATTCCTTGGAAACGATTTCTTTTTTCAATTGCTTAAACCTCTGACGAAAGTATTATCAACAATAAAGTCGTTCAGAGGAATTTTTGACTATAATGCGAAATTTACTATATCGAGACTTTACTATATCGAAACCTTACTATATATCGAGACTTGACTGTATATGTACTACGCTGCACAATTTTGCCCAGCCCGAGTATAAAGAGAGTTGGATTGTAGATGACGCGTACAGTACACGTGTATATTGACGCGTTGATATACTTGCATTTTATCATTATTTTTTCCGAAACGGATAATAATTGGTGTCAAATATATATTTGTGAAGTCATGTGAAAACCATGTTTTCTATAAACGCACACTCTCATTATGTTTTATTAGCCACTAAAGTTTTCCGAATATTCGGCTATGGCTAGAGTACGCGCATATGCAAACAACTTTCGATTTAGTTTTCTCCAAGTCATTATTATTGTCAAATAAAATATAGTATTACAGGTAAATTTTGTAAACAAGCGGCTAGAACAGAACACCTAGTTAACGTGTTACAAATTAAATCCAGCCATTCTAGCTTGATTACTCGTAACTGTCCATTTCTCTCATCTACTAATCAGTCAAGTAACCTATCCTGCTGGAATCATGCTAAATCTTAGAATACAGCGGGAAGAAACCATTTTTTCGCGTTACTATAAATAACGGAGAATTAAAGAGGTCATTGTATACAACCTCATTCCTCTATAGTGAATTCTTCAAGTTTTTTGTACCTCCCATTAATCTTCATCCTCATCATCCAAATCATCCAAATCCTCATTAGCAAACAAATCGGCCGTCACCCTTACTCCTTCCTCAGTAACAATAGTATTATTGTCCAATTGCTTACTAGACCCTTCCTCGTTATCATAAAACTGGGTTCCAGTCTCTTCCACCTCAACATCCCTTGATTTCCCATAAGTCTCCTCCTCCCTACTCTTCTTATTCTCATCAGACCCTTCTTGTTCGCGCTTATACTTATTAATGTCAAACACATCATCGTCGTCATCGTAATCGTCTGCTTGGTTCACTAGGTCAGGATTAAAGGTAAAAAGATCGCGTCCTGACATGCCCTGTGCTTTGCCTGCTTTGTAGGCGGCAGCTTTGGCCTGCTGCTTGAGTTCTTCCTCGGCCTCTTGTTTTGATCTGCGGTTTTTCTTCCACTCTGTAAATGTCTCTAAAGTTACGGGAGTAAGATTTGGCCCAAGGTTGTGACGCTATATCGAATAGAATGTAAACAAGACATTTAACATAGTGATTAAATAGATTGACAAGATTACCACAAGACAGTAAATTAAAATAGAAGAAGAGGGTCTAAGACGATCAACAGATTATGATGTATGTCAAGCATTATGTGTATGATTGCTTACTTCAGTCTCGAGAAATTCCTCAAGAGTGATTGTTTCAGCATTTTCCTCTTCTTTCTTTTGACCTTTGGTGACAAGAACGTATCCAGGCGGAAGTGCATGCCTGTATTTACAGTTTTTGCCTTTAAGAAATGAAGAGAAAAATAACCGACAAATGTTCAGTCATTAAAAAGTTTATAAACAAGATCGTTCATTTCAACAAAAAACTGGCCAGATCACCATACCTCCATTAGGACACTCCCAGAACCAACCATATCTCTGATTTTCTATCGCTTCTAAGAAATATTTGCACACAATGTCGGTGGTAACTTGACTCCCATGTTTTGATTTCACAACCTGCTCCAATTTTTTTTGATCCCATGTATCCATTGTATCTGGATTTAATTGTCATAGCGAAGTCAATATTTATGAAAGACCTGAACTCCTCTCTTCCTTTCTCTTCGCCTCCATTTACATACTATACCTATTTTCTTATCTCCAATCGTCCTGCTATCAGTATACAAATCAATCTTAGCACTCTTACGCTCTACCGCCAAATCATGAGAGAATTTACACTTGTCTCCTTTTTGACATTGTCCACTTTTAAAGAACTGACATAATACCGTCTTTGGATCGACGCCAAATGGAACCTTTTGAGTTTGCACTGGCTTGAAGAGTTCAGCGAGTTCTTCCTTCTTTTTTTGTTCAGCAGCTTTCTTTTGAGCAACGGCGTCTTTCCTGGCATCGGCCTCTTTCTGTTATGCGATGGGCGAAGGCATATAGGGATATTTTCAAGTCAGCGGACGAGATTACCTACTAATTATTAATTATCTGCTCTAGCCGTACGATGCTTACTTGAGCTTTTCTATTCCCAGCTTGCATAACTTGATTCTCGATCTGTTTAATTTGTTGCTGAACCTTGGCAGATTTTTTCTTGTTTTTAAGACCAAAGGTCTTGTCTTCTACTATTTTCTGCTTCTCTTTTTGTTTAGATTTATCCGATTTATTCTTCTTGGGAGGCATTTTTAATCGTAAAATAAAGAAAGCGGTGGGGAGACGAATTTGAAAGTCGAAAGAAAGGTATATTTTATGTGGGTACTAGCCACAGAGGTAAAAATTTATTCAACGCCACAAATGCCCAAAAAGGTTCAAGTGGCGAAACATTTGCATTCTTATTAATCCCCAACAGCATAACTATGATTAAAAATTAGAAGCAGATTACATCACGAACATATCAATAAGATCATATTAACTATCGTCTTGTATTTATCTATCGAATAAAATTCACAAGTCTGGCTTTGGCATTTTATCGTCAGATAAATTTTATGGCGGATATTGAATCATACCCTATTAGATGGAAAAGAAACATAATACGAACAAATTACTGTCATTAGACGCGACAGTTAATGAAAGTCTCAAAACGGAAACTTCAATCTTTGTTAAATTCATAGCGGGAGTTCTTTTGTAGACTTCAATGGGTCAACTAAAGAACTGTCTTGTTATTATTTCATGGGATAAAGTTGATGGTCAACAGAAGCGAGTTGAGATTCTGAGAGATTACATCATTTATTCGGATTACTTATGCTGACATTGAGATCTTCTAAAAGCCCTGTTGGCAAGTTGTACATCCATCCATGAATGCTTAACTTTTGTGGAACTGCCCATGCATCTTTAACAACTTGGGTCTCAGCAAGTTTCTTCACCTGTTCTTTAACGTTTAATCTTGCTAGCAACCCACTAAATGTGCTGGGATCATTTATGCCCTCGAACTCTTTAACATGCTCTTTGTATATAGCTTCTATAGGTTTAATCCATTTTTTCACATTTGTTGGTAGCTTGTCATTATCAAAGTTTTCGACGCCTGCACACCCAGTATGACCTTAGAAAAGAATTAACCAAATATGTAAGTAATGGATAGATGGAGATTTCACAAAATAGATTAGATTAGATTTTCATACCGCATACGACTATATTCTCTACTTTGAGGTTTTGTACAGCAAATTCCAGTACAGCCATACAGTTGGTGTCTTCTGGGTCGAATTGATTAGCAACGTTCCTGTTAACAAACAGTTGACCAAAGCCCAGTTGTGTAACGATTTCTGGTGAGACACGTGAATCGGCGCATCCTGTCAGATAAATTAGATCAGATATGATGACCCCGCGTCAATAAACAATAGATGGATAGATCTGATATCTGATATTTACCAAACCAGAGAATCTTTGGGGCTTGCCCCGCGGATAGGTCTCGGAAAGAAGTCAAATCAGCTTTCTTAGAATTGGCCCATATTTTATTGTTCTGAAGCACGGATAAGAGACCTGCACGCAGTGATGCCATCACGCTACAATTGTAATGATATTTGCTAGGAATATTACCAATAGTTTAACGAGATTATTTATTTACCTCTGGTTATTGAGGGGGGGGAGTGGTATGAGAAGGGCGTTTTTATACAAAAGCTGATAGAGCTTTTTGTGAGATCAGTTAGGCAATACTTTTGTGTCATGATTCTATCTCGAACGTCCATGTCGCACTAACACAAGATCTCGATTGTATGTGACGCCAAGAGCAAAAACTACTGAGCGGGCTTCAATTGTTGTATATTCATAAGGTTAGATATAGCTTGGGAATATACTAAATTGCTGTCATGACAGTTGACTCTCGGTTCTTCAGGCAACATGACGTGGTATTAAAGGCATTTTATTCATACACTACATTATTCGGAATGTTGATTTTTTGATTTGATTGATAATACTCGATACCCCAACAGATGTTGTCCTATCATATAATAATAATAACAACTATTAATTATCAGCCAAACGAGAGTTCCCACATTTTCTACGATCACGTGCCAGAAACTTTTTACAATATCACATAGTCTCTCGTTTAATAATGTCATTATTGCAGGCATCAAAACACCTATGTCGATTCAACGCTCGCAGTCTGCCCACGAATACCCGCCGTCAACTACATTCCCGACACACGACTCTTCTCTGGACGGAAGAAGAGCTGGTAAAGCTTATTCAGGCTGTTAAAGATCATGGATACGAGTGGGAGTACATTCAAGATAACGTCTTTCACGGAACGAGAAGTGCTCGTCAATTGAGCCGTAAATATGACCTTTGGGAGAAACGTCTTGAGAGCAATCCTATTTTGTTCTGGTATAGTGCTGCTTCTCCAGCTGAAGACGAAGCGCTGAAAGAATTAGTCCAACAACAAGGTGTAAAAACTCGACTGCCATGGACGATAATTGCAGAGAAATTTTCAAAAAACTTTCCAGAACGTTTACCTGAAACTCTTGCGGATCGGTGGCGAAGATTAAGCGCTAATAAGCGTGGTAAATATTCGGATGAGGAGGATCAATTGATAAGAGACTTTTGCAAGGAGAATGGAGGTTCATGGGCTAGGTTATCGGTTTTATTAAACAGACCTCAGCGAAGCCTTCGCGCACATCATGCTGATTTACAACTTAAGGAAGAGCGTGAGTCATGGTCGCTTGACGAACATTATAAAATATGTGCTATTTTAAGAGAGCATGGTCCAATTATGAACAAAATTGAAGAGGCATTCCCTCATAGATCCAAACCGTATCTGAAGTTGTTGGTAAAAAAATTATTAAATAAAGAACACAAATACGAGTATAATAGAGGGAGTTGGTTTCCTGCTGAGGTTAAAGCACTGAAAGAAGCTTGTCGCAGATATACTGGCACGAGAGGTTTATGGCGGAAAGTGTCTGCTGTCGTCAAATCAAGAAATGATGCACAATGTATGAGATATGTAATTGCCCGAGGTTGGAACAACTTTGTAGATACATGACAAACAATGGCATTTTTATACTTGATCTAAAAATGGGATATGTAATCTCTATTTGTTTGGCGCGTTATTCTGACAATACATAAATAAAAATGGTTTTTTGTACGGATAATCTCCGTAATTAGTTCTCAGCTCACTGACTTGGGAAACAAAAATTCAGTTACAAAAGCTGAATATACTAATAAAAACTACAAGTCTATATATTATTTGTATCTTATCATAAATACACACGCGTGTTCTTAAATCCCGTACACCCCTCCTTTTTCGCCAGTTCATACACATACTACACACAGTTCATCCATAACAATTAGATCATTATTTACTCTTCCTCAGATTCGCTCTCAACAGTCTTCAGCCAATGGATAAATGGCTCCATCTGCTTCAAGAAGACAGTCTTTCCTTGATTTTTGGCTCCTTTTTCTGCCCAATATAAGATAGCACTCTCAGAAATAACATCACTATTGTACAAAATCTGAACAATTTGACGAAAATGCTTCATCAACTTGGCATCTTCGTAACAATAAACTTGAACCTTTTGGAGAAGTGCAAGCTCTGTCTTCGGGTTTGTGCAGAATGCAGCGAGAACTTTTGACCAGTCCTGAAAATAGTTTTCGTAAAAAACCAAAGGGTTACATGGTAAACAAACCAGTCCTGACTGTCCCGCATAATTTATAATCACATTATCATCTCTTTTTTTTTTTTTAATTTTTACCTTGACTTGTCGCAAAGCCTGACTCTCAATCTGCTCAGGCCTTGAACTCCAGTCGACCGCCCCAATGAGCGCTTCCCAGACAATCTGCGCAAAATCTGCTTCCTGCCAACGGCTTTCCTTCATTTGATGTCTCAAGTAAGTAATAACCTCTGCCGGAGTGCTTTCCCCATCTAACAGCTCTTTCACATGTTCTATAGTTTGCTCTTTCATTGCTGCCTTTTGTTTCTTATTGTGATATTCGACAAGTTGTTTCATATCTTCAGCCTCAAAATATCGAGCAAAATATTCCTCATCACGCTTGTTTGGTGGGAAGAATTCCATAAGTTTCTTATGGATACCGGCTCTTTCCAGTGATGACCCTAGATGATCAATACTCTGCTCATTCAGATAAGCCTTGAAGACAGACGTGACAAATTGTAGAGAAAGGCCTAATTAACATTTGTGATATTTAGAAAAGACAGGGAATAAGTAGGGAGTTAGCGATCATCTCATTTGCAGCGAGCACGAATTGTTTGTCTATACAAAAGTTTATCTGTTCTTCATTGAGAAAGATGCAATTTTTTACCTTCTTTGACTAAATGTTCTTTGAACAGAATAGTCAAAACATTGACATTGGCCAATCCCCCTGATGTAAGCAAGCCTATTGCAGTGGCTAACTTGTTAATTTCTTCAGTGCTCCATTTGTTAATATATTGAAGCAAGTTCCTCAAGGTATCTTCAAAGATGTGCTGCAAGTATCTATAACGACGGATAAGTTTATCGAAAACTTCGACGTGCTTCTTGATAGTCTCGGTATTATCTTCTGCAGCGAAGATTGAAAATGGACTGCGTGGGGCTCCATCCTGACTGATGATTCCTCCAGGCGCTAGGATCAGTAATAAAAGAAATAAGGGGTATGTTGTCAATGCGTACAAATCGTCAGTGTGAGTTCCGGAATGTTCATAAAGGTTAGATACATATGCATACGCAAAAAATGCATATGACTATCAAGAAATTTCTCTATTATTTGTCCTCCTCACGTGGCTGATGATTCATGTAACAAAATAATGCGGCGATTGCCTAATGGGCGATTCCAAAAATATAATTGAATATACATACCTAATATACCACCGGTCAAGAGAATTTCAAATAAAGTTTCGCCGTATTTATGATATTCAAGGTCGTTTCCAGCACGGTCTAACTGTTGAGCGATGTCTTCAAAGTCGCCAGGTTTGGCAGCAGATAAAGCCTTTAAAATATTATCTCTGAATACTGCACAGTAAACAAAATTGAGCCATATTAATTAAAGAATGCAAATAAAAGTCTTTTTCTAATCTATGTTCGAACCAACACACTATAAACAAACGTACCAGTTGGTTCGTACTTGGCTTGTGCTTTTTGCACACTCTGGAAAATGTAAAGACAAAATTTTAGTGTGCTAATCGATTTAGAATTCCTGCCATGATGACATACCTTTTTAGTCTTGATTTTAACACCATGCAAAGCAGGTAAAGTCTTCGAGTTTGTACTGTTTTGTGTCCCACTCATCAAAGTATCAGCAGCTTATAAAAGTTCCTCCTCGGTGTTGCGGGATGAAAAGATGAGGAAACGGAACAACCGCATAGCTGCGGGCATTTATAGGACGTTAAACGCCTCAGACAAATTCAGTGCATTGCGCCACAGTCCTCCAATTAGTGCCAATTTTCTAGTCACGTGGCTATTTGCATTTCTGTTTTCCATTGCTTTATAATCAGCAATTACAATTAATATTAATATATTAAACCGAAAAACACATGAATAGAGTTAGATGCTGGGAAATGGTGTTTTTTTTTTGAAGGGGGGGGGGGGGGATTCGCGCTCCATTTATTAGAATATTAACAAGCTCATTCAATTGCATCCTGTTTTTATGTCAGATTGGCGAATGCACGTATTTAGTATCAGTACTGTAGGTTTTTCATACATGATGTAGGAAGAATGATGAATGCGTGTAAGCAACAAGTGGTGGAAATTGGACTAAGAACATCGTCACAAAAACTTGGTCTTTTGTGCATTTACCAGTTACCGTGTACATTCATAAAGTGAAAGGAAAGGGAGAAAACATCACTACCATCGTTATGTTTGATGTCATTAATTTCATTCTACACGAAATGACCGCTAGGAATAATCGTTAAAATGCCATCTCTTAACACTTCAGTATTAGTGAGTAGAAATTGCTAAATGCGCATGGCGCTAAGCGTTCACGTGTTATGATGCATGTAGGGTTAAGCGATCTGCAGACAGGTATCGAACACGTGATTTATTATTTGAATTCTGATAGTATGAAGGTATTAGTATGTGAAGTTTTCATGCTAGCTTTGAATAAATAATATATTGATGTACTGGACAAGTGGCATAGCAAAGGTTCTAACTGTTAGTAAAACGAATAGTTTAAGAGTCGAGAGCGTTGACGAGAAGGGGACAGTGGTCAATGAGGAGGGTGAAGAGAAAATCGGTGTGTCTCCAGTGATTTTACATATGCGACGCAATAAAAGTGGAAATCTGTTTATAACTCTAACTAAAGACTCTATTCAACTTTGGAGTTTTCGGGTAAGCAATTCTCTTTTGTGTTAGATTTAGATTTGAGACAAAGGAGAACGGGCTCCTATAACTACATATACATAGGTTCGCATTCTGCAACGGTTGAAAAGGATTGAGGCAACTTTGTTCGGTCGCTAATGAGAATTAAGTATGGCTCTTGTAATATACAGTCAAATCTCTTTATATCGATACGAGTAACACCAGTCATTTTTATCGGTATAATCAGATACCCTCTTTATAACAATGCAATATAATAAGACTGATTCGGGTAAACGAAACTTCGTCGGCATAAAGAGGTTTGACTGTATTGATATTAACTAGTTTTTTTTAACTCGTTCTTTGGATGGTCATTATCAGTTGAGTAGAAGTCAACGCTCATGTATAGCACCTGTTGGCTAATTATTGATTCTGAGATATAGATAATAATACATAGATTTAAACCTGTAATTGGTTCGCTGCAAAGGCGAGCGTATGTAAAATGACTTGTCTCTTTAATGGGAAACATGGACATTTTGAGATGTCCAAATATATAAAATATAATAATTACTGAGGATAGTCCCAAAGCTATTTTTGTCAAAGTCGAGTGATATAGTTACAAATCTTTCGTTATCCCCGTTGCGTTTGGTAGAAGTATTTTAATTCAATTAATTTTCGGATTTTCTTATTTGTCATTATAGCCAACCGCATTGATATCACAGATAACGCGCACTGCCAAGTCAATTGGAGAATATGGTGCAAATGAGAACGTATTTTGGAAACCGGACGGAACCCTAGTAATTGTTCAGGTTGCTTTACTATCAATGTTTGTGTTTCCTCATAATCGTTGTCAGTACGCTTTACGAATATTGATCTATTGTCGTCTCATAATTATGTAGACAACACAAAATTGTCTACTCACCTATAGTGTTCTCCCATTCGATGATAAGAGTTTTAAATACCAATTCGGCAAAAATCCACATCATTACGCTACAGGAGCAGGAGAAGGACATGGAATCAAAACATTCTTGCTAAAATTCCGAATGACAATTCGGATTGATGCAGGCATGGAGACGTGAGTTTACGGGTATATATATAATTCAGATTATTGAGGACGCGTCTCAATTATTTACCTGTTCTGTGATTACAGTGGAGTCGGCACGGAAGATTACTTGGTCGTGACGACAAAAAACCCTCCAGCCATCCAGTGTATTCCGTGGCAAGCAGAGCCGCGAGGGACGAAAACCAATATTCTCGGTAGATTAGACTTCGTGGAATCAAGAGGAGGTATTTTGCCGTCAATTTAGACTGTTGATAATGTCAAGAAATTTTGACTTAGATTATCATTATTTGTGCTTTCAGCTAGCATCTTGCATATTTGTTATGATCATAAAATGGATCTGTATGGATGGATCACAACAGACGGCAAAGCATATGCGGCTCAATTCGTTGAAGACAGATCATCTGTAAGTTGGATGTAAAACAGATATACACATGCAAATATGTGATCGCTTGTTCTTATGTCTCTCTTACTAACAGCAGGAAGAGAAGAGTAAAGCCCCGCCAATCTATTGGTCTGGATTTTGTATTCACGGTGTCGGCGAAAGTCGAATACCAACAGAGATGAAGGCTACTCGCATATCAATAAACGCTAAATTTTCGCTTATAGCTGTCGGAACTGAGGGGTAGTTACAAATATCGAATTGATTATGAAGTTCAAAGTGTCTTATTATGTTCCTAATGCGTCACTTTTCTTTTTCTTTCTTTCCTAGAGGTGTGGTCTATTTATACTATGCAAAAAATTATATAGGAGGCATTTATTTCTCCCATAAATTGACGATCGGCGAAAGTTTAGAATCATTATCATCAAATATCCTTTATTCGTATGATTATTATTTCAACATGTACAATTCGTTATTTCATATAGTCCTTAACCAACAGAAACACGCGTTTCTACTGGTGCAGTTACTTCTCTTGCGTGGACATCCGATGGTTACGCACTCGCAGTTGGATGGCGCAATGAAGGATTAGCTTTATGGAGTGTTTACGGACGGCTGTTGATGTCTACACTTCAGGATGAAGAACTACAGTCATTGTAAGCAATACGTTATACTAACAATGTATGTCCAGACGTCTTTATACCAACTTTATTTATTTTTACCGGTAGTCAGACCAGCTGCCAAGATGCTTTTGTGCACGGAGTGAACGATATGGTAATAGATAATTTGTGTTGACATTTAATATTTACTGAAAAGAACCACTCTCACGTTTATTATTGATTGAAAGTTCTGGAGTTCAGGGAATTGTGAACTTTTTGTCTTGCATCAAGCAACAACATCAACTGGTAATTGTATATGCTTCAGTGAACTGTGGATTTAAAGTTATAAGTATTAACGATTATAGGCTATCCATATTAGAAGAGCAATTGTACACTATTCCATTTGCAAGGTCAGCGGTAACTGGATTTCATAGCTCAGTAAGTGTGTTACATATAGTTAATAGTGGGAGGTATTGCACACGAGTATGAGCAAATGTACATACAATGTAATTTTAATCATTACCTGTGATCACTAGGATAATGCAAAGAGAGGATTTCTGCAGATGGATGATCGCCTGCTACTTTATCGTGGTGGGGATCAGGAGGATCTCAGTGCAATAAATCCAGACGCTATCGTCTGGCAGCATATCCAGGTATCGTATACTAAAGAATTTGAATGAGTTTTAAGTCGCTGGTAGTTTAATGCATCTTGCCTCATTTTAGATACCAATCATGTACATAAGCGATAATTGGCCTATTAAGGTACATTTATATTTACTTATTGTGAATATCCTCGTTTCTTACCACTAATACAATACTTCATCACAGTACGCTTCCATTAGCAGCGATGGTCGTTACATTGCTATAGCTGGACGTCGAGGTTTAGCGCATTATAATGTATTCTCTGGCAGATGGAAATTATTTGGTAACCAACAGCAGGTATTGTGGTTGTTCAACAATGCTTGTGAGACAATTGTTCATTGGTTAATTAATACACGTATCGCATTGTAGGAGAAGGAATTCAAAGTGCGTGGCGGACTCCTCTGGTTCAGACAAATTTTATTTGCCGCATGTGAAAATATGAGGACACACACTTATGAAGTGCGTCGGATTTATTCTATTCATGCATCCGAACCCGCCCGTTTTCAACTTAGTTATTAAACATATTGCTATTTTGTTTTTGGGGCAGATTCGTTCATATTCGCGAGAAACAAATCTAGATAACATCCATATGATACAGTGTGTCAGAGTTCCTAGCAATGTGTTATATCTGACCATCGTCGAGAATGCATTGCTTGCTTACTGTGACGACAATCTTATGTATCATTATCTCATGGTAACACCACCAAATGAGGCAGGAAAGGGTATCATTATGTTGGAATTAGCTCAGCAGATATCATTCATGGGTGTGATACATGCAGCAGCACGCGTTAGATCGATCTCGTGGTTTCAACCGAAAGCACAAAGTAATGATTATGTAGAGTATAATGTGTGTGTTATATGTTTAAATTGTTTTCAGTATTAATTGATATCTTGTTTCACTCAGCGGCGTTTACTCCAGAAAGCATGCAAGCGGCAACAATAATTTTCTTAATAGACGGAAAGCTTGTATTACTTACCCCGCAGAAGGTAAGTGATAATAGATCCGCATGCTTATATGGTGTACAATAATAATCACGCGCTCATCTTTTGAATAGAGCGACGCTGGCGAAGTGCAATATGATCTTCATGTTCTCGCCGACAGGATTGAATTCTATTGGATGGCCAATAGGGGGATTGGAAGTCTCAAGAATTCCTTGTGGGCGTGCGATGGTAAAAGCGTCAATATATGGATGGATGTATGGTCAGATGATGAAATTGCGTCCAGTTGGCATGACGAGGCAATATCGGCGGCTCCAAAGGAGGCGTTGAGTATTAAACTCGGTTTCTATCCGTTATGTAAGTTTCCAACTTGAATTTTGCTAGTCGGTAATTACTATTTACTCTAATGTCATTATCTATAATGTAGCTGTTCTTCTCGACAAAGGGATCATTGTTGGAGCTGAACAACAAGTATCCGTACGAAGTTCTCTTGATTTTGCTGTATTTAAATTTGCAACAAATGTACGTATGACGTTGTTCATTGCAGAAACGATGAATACAATTAACATTATTAACCGCTTATTACGACTCCTGGGATGAATTTATTTTTGTAGACACATTTATTTTTGCAATACATAATAAGATATATGCTTACGAGGGGGTAAATAACAATAACAAAAACGGTTCATTAAAATCGAAATGCTATATTGTTCTAATATCTCTGTCATGTAAATAATCTGACAGTCTTGACGAAGAGGCCGTTGCATTTGCGCGAAGTTATGAGCAATTAGTATATTTTGGACACGCACTTGAAGTTTTATTGCATCATGTACTAGAAGATGAGGCAGAGTTATCTGTGGGCACAGGGCATGGTAAAGTATACAGTGACCTGGGTTTTACATAATTCAGCGGATAGCGTCTTTAATAATATTACATATTTATGTAATGCAGGAGCAGTGCTTCCGCGCGTAGTCAAGTTTTTAAGTCATTTCCCACAAGCATTAGATGCTATTGTTGGATGTGCTCGAAAAACAGAAGTAGCACTCTGGGATTATTTATTCTCTATTGTTGGAAGTCCAAAGGATCTTTTTGAGGTAAACATACAACTGTTATGGTTCAAACAATACAAAATCTATGCCGAAGGTTACTGACGGTTTGCGACTCTTCCAGAAATGTATGAGTACTGGTCTTCTCAAAACAGCAACATCTTATCTTTTGGTATTGCATACGCTGGAACCATCAGCTGACAGCAGTCAGGTCGGGTTTCTTAATATGATATTGATACTATGTTACATGGTATTAGAAATATATTTCCTAACCGATTTTATTTTACAGGATACGATACGTTTATTATCTAAAGCAATGGAAGTTGAAGATTATGAGGTAAGCATAATCTTTCTTTTCAACCCTTTCAATTATCAGCCAACTAACTATAATCTTGTTCTAAACAGTTATGCAAGGAACTTGTGCGATTCTTAAGTTCTATAGACGGAAGTGGACAAACATTATCTGAAGCATTGGTAAGCATCCAGCTTTCGTCTGAAAACGCGAAACTAGTGGCTTCACCTGTTCAAAGCAACGTCTAGATGCATCCGACACTCTCTGATAAATTGTATAAAATAATTTTTGTGATCTTTAGAACTGTTTATATAGATATATTACTATTACTATAATACATAATAAACCAACTAACTACGTTTCTCAGGTCGTCTGTTTGCAACAAGTCTTGTCATTTATTTTCTCATTTGTCTATTTGCATATTAATATACAGTTTTAACTATAGCCTATTTACTTTTTCTTTTTCGACGCGTGGATAAAGGCACTAGTTTCTATTGTGAGTGAACAATGTGTTTTTTATTGAATAGTAAATAAAAGCCACTTATTCACAGTCCACACTATTGCTACAAATGTTCATTACATAACTCTAGTCTTGCCAACGATTTGATGAGCATCGACAAAGCCGTGTAATGATTAAGCGTCTTTACTATTAGTTGTTTAAAAAATGATTTCGTTGAAGGTATGGTTTAACAACTTTTTGCCGTAAAGAAAGACGATGTTTCCTGCGAAACAAACCAATAAATCAACAGGAAAAAGTGAAACTCTATCCACTGGTTATACGTGACATTGCGGTAGAATTTATAGGCGTAGTTGGTATCTTCTTTATTATGATAAAACAACGACTGAAGCATTATCGACAATTAATGTTTGTCTGTGGGTTCCTGTTTACACTCTCTTCAGTTACTATTGGTAATATCAGCAGCGGAATCCGTAGAATCGTTAATTTCATTGCAAAATATCAGTCATTGTAAATTTATAAGCATTGCACGTGCTAATGGGAAGAAACAGATCAGAACTTTCAAAAAGGTAATCACTTGTGCATCTTTTTGCTTAAACAAACCTCGTTACTATGTGAGATGCTGGGCGGAATTATTTATCAAGATTTGATGTTCCGCTAGACTTTTCCCGATTTGGCATGGATGGTTTTTCCAAGTTGGAACTATCACTTATCAGTATTACAATTAATTATTTATTCAAAACAATTCAAAAAAAAAAAGAACAAAGTCGTAGAACACTGTTATTTGATAAAATATATACGCTGAGTATTATAATAGTCAATTCAACTTCATTTCTAGCCTATTTTTTCAGATGCCAAGTAAGCACAATATTCAATCTTAATTGGAATAAATGTTAAACCAACTGCAAAAAAGGTTATTTACTCGCATGGCTATCGCTTTATTAAGCCTTAATTAAACCGTACGATAATTAATCAAAATTTAAACACATAAAATGATGTCTTGCTAAATGTCGAGATTTACATTTTTGGTCTGTAAAGTTATAAGAGAAAAGAGGTCACTTTTAGATTGAGTTATGTTAATATTAAGTAGTGTCGTTTCTAATAAAAAAAAACACACCATCTCTCATAATTGTGTTACATGACCTTGTCTGTAAATAAGTAGCACCAGTTAGTCTATGTATATTGATATTAATATTAATTAATATTAATTAGTGTGACATTGACCTGTTGAAATCGCAAAGATATTATTTATCCATATTGTATTCATTCCTATTGGCGAAGCTTTCTCTGTAGAAATAATCTTGTGCGTAAAACCCCTTTCAAAATAATAAACATTAATTGTATACATGTTTATGATCGCTGACTAGTATTCGTCTTTTTAACACAAGGAACAGACGTCTTGCAATATGAGTTAATAGTTGAATTATATCGAAAGTGTTGCAATCGACAGGTAAAAAGAAACGAGAATTGGTGTGTACACTTATTATAGTGGCCTGAATAATGTTATATAATCCCCACATACCATACCATATTGGTATTAGTGCAACATGCGTTTCCGTGTAACATCGGGTTGGGCGATAACTTTGCAAAATTTAAGACGTTGCTCGAACTCTTTTTCTCTTAACGATATTGTTGACACGAACGAGTTGATGTCGTAAGCTGATAAAATAAATTAGCGTCCATCCACAAAGTATTGTCAGCATTGTGCAATGTATGGATGTTTCGCTAATTGGTTAAATCTTTATAAAAAACATTTTCGATGAGCAAATAAGAAAAACAATCCTACAAAATTATAGTATCCCAATATGCTGCCAAGATTGGTTCACCAATGGCATGGTTTTAATAAAAACGTACACATTGCATAATGTAACGTTGTACTCTTTCCACGTTCGGGTATTTGTAATTCGCATTATATTTCTATTTCCATATATATAAAGTACATTCCATATATGTCCATGTCAGATCGTGCATACTTGTATGTTTATATTTTGTAGATCTAACGAATAAATACTCACTCCAATAATTTTAACAATGTCTTTTATCAGTGTCCATAACTATGTTGCACTTGTTAATAAAAACTTATTACAGATGCACGAACAAGTATTTACCGTTCCAGTATAACGTATAGAGCAATCCTATTTGGCGCACTAATATCGCCGCTAGGTGTCGCACGCAAACGACTTTAAGTACACACGGTTTCCAACTCCTACTTTCTTTCTTGTCCTTTTCCTTCCACATTCTATCATTTATATCGTATTCCATGAGGGGATAAAAATTGAGCTACCGAGCGAGATCTCCTTGCAGTAGTTTAAGCCGGTGGAAGTTGTCGGCATTCGCCACTTTCTATCCTCCATTCCTTTCCTTTATTTTACCCTCTTCCCTCTTTTCCTCCAACCCTTCTATATCCATTAATATCCTCTGGGATGAAACTGAATTCTACCAGTTTCATCGTCGTTATACTTTTATTATCGGTGATTGGCGATTGTGGTATGTAAGGGATGGGTAAGCCCCCAGAGAAACACACTCAAAAAGTTAGATTTTAAGCATGACACTGCCGATTGATTTTGATACAGAGTGCTGACAATTGCTACCGAATTACGCTTCCAATAATTATTCTCATCACAGGGTTTGTTCGAGCTCTTGCAATTAATGACAAATTGGTATTTAACGTTGTTAAGACAGAAGGGAAAGCCATAGATGAGCCATGGACAGAACAGCATAAAACGACAAGTAAGATTGGAATTAACTTGCAGTTAGTCATTGCACGTGAGGAAACTCACAATTATCCGCTCTCTCCACAGAAGTTCGATCCTATAGACAAATAAGGCTATTATCATGTAAGTAGTTCTGAACTTATTAAAAGATTAAGTAGTCACAAGCATCAACATCCAGCGGTCAATTTTCTTTTCCCATCAATTATTGATTTTAAACTTCTTGAATCAAAAGTCAAAATACCCACTACGATCGCTAGGGACTCGACTGGATCGAGCTTATTGGATCTCAGGGAAGATCCTAGTGAGATTGATTCAAATCAACGGGATCCATTATTTCTCGGTACAGATTCGCCAAATAAGTCGGCATCAAAAAAGCTAAAAAGTCGCGGTTGGAACGATTACTTTGGCAGATGGGGTGGCGGCAAACGTGATGGCGGTGGAGGAGGTGGTCGAGGTGGTGATGGTGGAGGAGGCGGTAAAGGAGGCGATGGTAATGGTCAAGGAGGCGGATTTGGAGGAGGCGGAGGAGGAGGAGGAGGATTTGGAGGCGGAGGAGGAGGAGGATTTGGAGGCGGAGGAGGCGGAGGAGGAGGAGGAGGATTTGGCGGAGGAGGAGGAGGATTTGGAGGCGGAGGAGGCGGAGGAGGAGGAGGAGGATTTGGCGGAGGAGACGGAGGAGGCGGAGGAGGATTTGGAGGAGGAGGCGGAGGAGGAATTCCGCCTCCGCCTAAAATAACGCCGCCAAATGTCCCACCAAAGGTCCCACTGCCATCAATACCAGTGCCATCAATACCAGTGCCATCAATTCCAGTGCCATCAATTCCAGTGCCATCAATTCCAGTGCCATCAATTCCAACACCTCCGCCATCAGTAAATCATGGCACGGATCCAGGAAATAATGGCGGAGGCAACGGTTCTAGTAATAACGGTGGCAATGGAAATAATAACAACGGAAAAGGCAACGGGGGCAACAACGGTAACAACGGTAACAACGGTAACAACGGTAACAACGGCAACAACGGCAACAACGGAAAAGGCAACGGGGGCAACAACGGCAACAACAATAATGGCGGCGGCAACAATAATGGCGGCGGCAACAATAATGGCGGCGGCAACAATAATGGCGGCAAGCCAGTTCCTAGCTACAGTCCAGCACCTAGCGGATCCCCCGGAGCATCACCGAGCGGTTCCAATCAGCCCAAACCCGGAGATCCAGGTAACGGAAACAATCCTAATGGTGATAATAATGGAAGCGGTGGACCTGCAGGATACAGCCAGCCCCCAGCCCAGAACAACGTTGTTAAGCCTGTAATACTGGCAGTTGCCGTTTGCGTTGCTGCTGCGGCGATGGTAGCTCTCATCAGCGCTAGACGACGATCACGTTGTAACGAGCGTAACCTCCGATTACCTGACACGGACTCTCTTGGAGATGGCGAGAGTAGCATTGAAACCATAGACCGTCCGGTTAGTTTTATGGTAAACATAAAAAATGCAATTAACGGGTTAGGTCGGCTAACCGTGTCGCAAGATGCTGCGAACATTACAGGCCAAAGCAAATTCACCGAATTCATAACCTGAGGATTATTACTTTTCACCCTTTCCCCCAAGAACAACCTAATCATCAAACAACCTAATCATCAAACACTAGACGTTTTCTTTTTACTATTCCTTCCGTAATACCTATTAGGAATGCATTTGTCAATACAATTCCATTTATTCCGTGTAAATATCTCGTACAAATATTTGCAAATTACAAATCACCTAGTTCAGGCTGAACCCAACAAAACATGAATCCCTCTTTCTGTAAATCTAATCGTAATTTCTCCACATGTTCTACTGACTTTTCGTCGTTATCGCCAGACCATAAACCTAATATTGCTCCACCCGATCCCGTGAATTTGGCAGCAAACCCATGTTTCCGAGACAATTCTATCATACGTAAATTTGCGGAACCAAGAGTTGCATCACCAAATAACTCACGTCGCAGATCAAAGTTTTGATTCATTAAAGAGGCGATAATCTTGCGTTTAGTTGATTGGTCGTGGGAGGAATCAAGAAGTGCTTCACGCGCTTTTTCAGCGAACGTAGCAAAGCGTTTCATTGATTTGATTACCTAAAAACGTGAGTTAGATGACGTGAATCAAAAAGACTATACAATAGTTTATGGTTAAATCCTCACCTTCTCATCACCAGCCTCCCAACGTTTACGTACGTCACTATGTATTTTGCCTGTTTGAGAAGTCATCAATTATTTTTAATGGTTTGTAGATATGAATCTGTATACGCTTTAGATCGGATAAGATTTTACCAGAATCACTGGGGTTTCCTTCATACGCCAACCAAAAGCCCTTTGGTAATTTCTCCAGTGGAATTCTCTCATAAAATCCCGCATTTCGGCTCTCCAACTGTTCTCTATCAAAGTCCATAAACACTAGCCCGCCATACGATTGTATAACTCGATCCATGTACCCAGCGGTAACTCCCAGTTCATCTCTTTCCACCGATAAAATCAAAGATGGTCGCTCGCTCAATGGTATCTTATTGTCATCTATATTATAAAATTTCATTAACGCTTTCCAAAATGCCGTGATAATTGCCGACGAGCCCGCGAGACCCACTTGGCGCGGGATGTTAGTCTCGAAAAAGACGGAAAAGCCTTGTTCATGTAGAAAAATATCTTGTGTTTCACAAGTAGTGAAGAATACCTTGCAAGTGGCTTGTAATAGGCAGTGATCATTGTTATATCCATCGGCAACCGAACTTGCTATTAAAGATTTTCTGTTTTCGAAGCTATACGCATTCGATGTGGGAGACGACAGAAAGTTGATCGATTGATACCCAAGAGAATGTGTAAAGCTGTTCGGAAGAAGAGTGAGTTCTACGTAAAAGTTTGAGATTAAAAAGGAAATAGTCTTGCCGAAGAAGCCATCAGATGGATTGCCCATTAGCCCTACGCGGGCGTGGCATCGTGTGATTACGGTGGTTTGCGTCATTTATAGACTTTAAACGGGAAGTCGCACGAAAATGTTCCCAGAACAAAAGACAAGGTTAATGCGATTGTTAGAATCTGCAATCTTATGATCAGACATTCCGATTTCAAGCCGTCTTCCGTCAAAATATCCAATTCGGAAAAAATCAAGGCTATCATTCCGGATTTCAGCATTAGCTCAATTATCATTTACATACAGTATAAAAAATCTATTTTTCGAAAATCGCCCTCGGCTGTATCTACTAACCAAATAACATTATCTTTTGTATCATTCTGAAGCTAATTGACTGTACTTCTCAGAAAACATACTGTTGAGTTTAAACAACTAATCGTAATTTAAATTACGTAGTAGTAGCGGCGAAGTAGTTGATATGTAAGTTACACATATTAATATATAATCATACGAAAAATGTATGTGTTGTTATTTTTTACTCGTTTAGCTTCAAAGCGATACAAAATTTATATAATAATACGAGCAATACAGATTTTCGAAAACATATGTTTTATTATTGATCGGCATATACTTTTGATTTCATTTAGTTTTACAATTTAAGTGGGAAAATAAAAGTTTAATTATTTTTGATAATTTATTTTTGGTTGTCAGTATAAATTGGTTGTGGACAAGTAATATTCTTGAATTTATCTCTAACAAATGGACGGATTTCTTCTGTTGATGTTTTTATAGTCGTCTACAGAATCAATGTTTATATATTATCAGTAACAATTAAATCATCGAATACGTACTACAATTGTAACTGTCGTTGACTTTAAATCATTCCACAACAACATGTTGAGTTTGTATTTATTTGGAGGTACTTGGAATATACCTAATATTTAATTGTTTAGTAGCTAATATTCATAAAACATACAAACGTTAAATTATTGTATTGGCAATTACGCTTTACTGGGCTCATAAAATTGCAAGTAGCCTTAATCATAGTAACTATATTATATTCTTGCCTTTTGTAATCTAAAGGAAAAGTTAGTACTAGGGTGAAAAAAGATATAATTTTTTTGGTAATTTTAGAAACATTTTCTGATTTTCAATAAATCAAATTTAATAAAAGTATCATTAGCAACCAGCTGGGTTTTGACAACTTCAGGTCGAGCTGCTTCAAAAAAATGCCGATATTTTTACAAATCAATTCAATTTTTTTAAAGAAAATTCCTAACACGGAATTAAGATCTAAATACTAAAAGCCTTTTCCGTTGTCATAACACTGTGCTTTGTTTAATCCCGCTGTACTTGATTTTTTCACAATCTCAACAATATGATCTACACATCTAGTATGTTCAGGTACTAAATTTAATTCGATATATTTTTCACAAATTACTGAATAAGGTAAATCAAATGGTAGCGTTATTTTTATTCTGTCCTCCCGCATTATCACAAATATTTTAAGTATCTTTCACCTTTATTCAATTTCTTTATTCCACCAAATACCAGGTTTAGCGTTCCATTAGGGCCTCCCTATAAGCTTGTATTCGTCAAGAAGTAATTGATTTGTTCGCGTGCTGAGATAATAAATCTTACCTGTTGATCGGAATGAGGCACGTGGACATTTTGTGCTCAGTCATAACTGTAATGAGCAGTAGCGTCAATGCTACAATAATCAGCTTTACCTCTTGTTATAAAATGCAATTTTCTTTGTTGTTCTGCTAATTCGTAATAGTTTCTCTCCAATTTAGCTTTAACTAGATGTTTTTTAAACGTTCAACAAAATCTTTTGTTTCTTCCTTACGAGAATTATATTGTAATTTGTTCCAAAAACGTTGGCATGTGTCGCATAAATCCGTTCGTGGCCTCATATCTGAATGCAAGGCGTTGATTGGTGCCATAACTTGCGAAATGCGTCATATTTTAACAATTTCAACATACTATCGTTTTCGAGACTTGCAATAAAATTACGATAGACTGATTTATAACTCATTTCAGCTGGTAGTAGTGTTTAAGCAATTGAATAATTCAGTTGACGTTTCTACCAGGACTTGGTAACCCGTGAATTTCCACATAGTTTCGAGACAATTCTTCGCGGTTGTAGCAACAGTTATATATTTTGGTTTTCCGTCGCGTCACTTTTTTACATAATTATCATAAATACATGGTATTATGCCATCCGTTGCTAGATAATTTCTGGCAGTTTCGAAGTGGGTGCGACCATATTAAGATACGTTTTCTGACAAAGAGGCATAATATTGCAATCTCAATAATAAAAAGTTTTGTTATTAGTACGCGTTTTATTTTTAAGACGTCAACTAGCAGCCATTCATTGCTTTCAGTAGAGCCATTAAAAATGTATCTTGTGCTTGAAACGCCTCACGTAATTTAGCAAACCCTTCTCTCGGAATCATTTTTGAGCAGTCGGGACCATAGGAAGCCACAAAACTGCATGCGCCTTCAGCATAACAAGAAAAAGAGAAAAAAGCTATTCCCGTCATACTTGTGGTAGCAATATCCCCATATATTGATATCATAACTAATTGTGAGAGTCATCTATGTTCACATTGTCTGGTTTTCATGTAGCATTGTTCCCACATTGTGTGTATATAATATTAATATTATTGTAAATATAATATATGATAGGTGAATACAAAAAACTCGTTGCTATTATCGATTTTGTCAATTAAAATTAATTAATGACCCGAAAAATAACTAAATAACCCAAATCAGTTACTACGGATAATAAAAGATTCAAGTTGTAGTTTTGTCTATCGCATTAAATGACATTTTGATAACGTAGGCGCTTGATCACTCATCATAGCGCCTTGTTTAGTTAAATGTCAGCATTGTTAATTCCTAACGAAAATTCAAAAGTGACTAACGATTTATTCATATGATATGATACATAACTCTCAAGACTTGACTATTCCCACAAAATACATGAACTTCGTGAATCATAAATTAAAAGAGAAAAAGAAGGCCCCACAGAATAAATTATTCCTGCTGAACTTGCCCATCGGAACTTCGAGATAAAGGTGGTGGAGAGGCATTAACCATCGCCGTCTCCGGAGAAGACTGCGCCTGCGCATCATTGCCGCTGGATGAAACTGACATAGTCTGTTTCTGCTGTTCTTGTGATGGCGATTGAGCTTGATTTTGTTGCTGTGTCTGTTGTTGTTGCTGGTTCTGTTGCATTAGCAGTTGTTGTTGTTGTTGAAGGATTGCGAGCATTTGTGGATTAGTGACATTATTACTATTAACAGGAGGCGGAGGAGTTGTATTCAACATCGGTGGTGGAATAGCACCACTCGCGGCTAGCATATATGGGTAAGCTGCTGCATTAAACATAGCCGGATGTCCATACATTCCAGCCGCAACCGCTGCCAACGTTGACGGATGAACGAACGGTGTGAAAGAACCCATGTGAGGATATGGTCCGGTTGGAGGAAAGCCCGAGTGAGGATGTGCAGTCATGGGCATTGTATTCATGAACATTGGTGGCGCAGGTGGAAATGATGTGCTTGGTGTATTCAACGGACTGGATACTGAAGGGCCAGCAGATGGTGTGGATGCTTCGCTCGATAGTGGCAGAGCACTCGCAGATGGTGATAATTGCTCGTGTTGGGGTGACGACGGATTCTCAGAAGTAGGGGTGCTTGTTGCTGCCTGCTGTAATTGTTGGCCGGCGAAATGGGCAGCAGCGGCGTAATAAGCAGCGGCGGCAGCGAGATCCGGTGGAAAGACATTCGGCGGAGGCATTCCTACCGAATTCTGAACCGAGCTCATTGAGGTACCGTTAAGTGACGGGTCGCTAACCATACCAAGTTCTTCCAAAAGACGTTTGTATCCTTGAACTTGCTGGACCTTCAATTTTCCAAGGACAAGTTTGACCTTCTCGGCCAATCTTTGTTTTTCAGCTTGTTCAACATATGGACTGGCTAGTACTTTCTGGACTACACCAACACCATGTACCTGGTCACTGAGCACCTCCTCCAATACTTGATCATTCGTGGAAAAGAACAAGTTTGAAATGGTTAAATCTCTCGCGTCAGTTTCGTGCCGTTGGTTGATGATCTTGAGCACTGTGAGTGAAGCTAATTTATGAGTGCAAAGATGTGCCAAATGGGGAGCCAGTTTAGGTGATAGGATGCGATATCGACCAGGAAACTGGGACGTGTCTAATAGCCATGTAAGTAACAACGCCCCATTCGGGTTTGTAGAGAGTGAAACGGCATTCATCACTATTGCAATTGCAACTTGTTTCTGTAATATAAGTATAATGAATGAATAAGATATACATTATCGGTATTGATCGAAATTTTAAAATATAATCACTAATGCTCACCTGTTGTTTTTTAGTTACATGCTGGCTTTCCAAGCATGCTCTCATGGCTCGTGCTCCAAAGCGACCCTGAGCAATCTCCCAGCATCTGTCTACCATTGCGTCGAATATAAATTGGTTTCTGGTTGGCCCAAGGCGCAGACAGCATTGCACGACATAATTTCCAAATTGATCGAGCAGTAGCGGTGGTGTATATGGTCTAACATTAGAAGTAATGAGATGCATCTGCAAATAAAATGAGATGATTATCGTAACATGTATATATTGTTATTTCGAGTATAATTTTGAGCATTATAACGTTTGCGAAACCATACCTGTGAAGGGTGCTTTGCGCAATCAATAATTTTTTGAGCGGCCCAGGTACCGTTCTTGTGAATACCAATTGTAGCCATGTGAGGCGCTATCTTTTCCAACATTTTCAATTTAGTGTTCTCGGTGCATCGTTCGAATAACTTTTGAATCACAGTATTCCCAATGTAATCTTGGGATTAAAATAAAAAAAAAAAGAGATTATGTTATATTCGTTCTCTGTTCTTCTCTCTTGCAAATTTCACCAAAGTTACAAGAATAAAACTTACCGCTTGATAATTCTACACACTCATCCATAACTTCGACAGCGATAGACTCAACTTCTTTAGCAGAACAATGACCACTATCGAGACGCTTACGTATTTCTCTTAATCTAGAAGCGTCTGGCTTTCGACTTGGGTTTGGATCGGCAACGGGTGGGATGCTTGTGAAATAATTAACGGGTGTGCGGTTGTCTAAATTAATATTAAAGAATTAGAGAAATTACGTTTGTAACAAAATTAATTATATTAATGGTATAATCACTAACCGATTGAATCGTCTATATCTTCATCGGATCCACCACTCAATTCACGCATCATCAACTGTTTCTCGGTCAATCCACCGGCTGTTCCCATGACCATGGAAAGTACAACATTACCAGCGTAATTGTCGTTCTGAGTGGGCCATTGGCCATTAGACTGATTATTAGATGATGATGACGATGTAGACAGGTTGCGAATATGCCTGGTAGCGGGAGAATCTGGTTCAGGAGTAGCTATTGGCGATGGTTTAGGCTGCACCTTTGCGTATCCAATCCTGACTGGACCAACTGCGCTACCCAAGACTTCTTTACCATGTAAAGCTCTTTTAGCTTTCACAGCATCATCCAATCTCTCAAAATTAACAAACCCGCAGTTTTTATGTGTCAACACTCTAGCAGACTCAATTGGGCCATATGGCGCAAATATGTTCTGCAACGCTTGTGGAGTAGTAGATGTTGGAATATTGCCAACCCATAATGCACGCGTCGGTTGTGATTGAGTCTGTGAGGATGGAGAAAGATCATGAGAGTTGAATGCTGCATCGGCTTTACCAAAGCCAATGCGAACAATGCAACTTCCTACTCTGCCACCCATTCTATCCATAATATCATCTTTAGCGCGAACGGCATCGTCGACACGATGGAAATTGATGAATCCACATTCCTTGTCAGGCAGCAGTCTTAAACTCTCGATCGAACCATATGGAGAAAATAAACGCATCAAATCTTCGTTGGTGAGAGTTGGATCAATGTTACCGATCCAAAGGGATCTAGTGGGTGTCTGCGGCGGTGGCGCGTTTTGAGCGCATTCAGAAGTGTGTGGACCTGGACTTGACAAACCAGATTGGGTCATCTAAATGTATTAATACGGTAGGTCAGTTATATGTTATGATTATGATAACAGTAAAGTCATTGCTATCATCACTTCAAAAAGATATTATTGCAAATCGCTACTTACCTCTATTTCGTTATGGTCCAAAAGGTAATCATCTTCATGAGATTGTTGCTGTTGCTTCTTTTTGCCTTCCATCATCCCACTCACCATCATTCCTATCAATTGCTCTCCACCAAGCGACCTCGTTGACGGCGTAGATCCCACTTGCTGTGAAGATTGGTCAGATAAATCAGCGTACATTGAGTTTTGCTTGTTACGCATCATCACAACTTCGTTGGGGGTGTCAAGCATGCTTAAACTGATAGCTCGAGGGCGGGAATGCGCCTGATGAAACTGCTGGACAGCTGCATTACCCGGAGGAAATAAGTTTGCACTAGTCATAGCGCTGGTTTGTAATTGATCGTCGTATTTAGGAGCAGCAGATACAGAAAAAGACCTAATACGATTCGCATCACGACGTAGCGATGGAATAGTCGCGATACTTGGGCCGGAACCATAAGTAGTATTGGTAGGTGCCTTCATGTCCACTTTAATCTGGGGTAAAGCACCAGAGCTAGTAGACATTTTAGGAAGGCTACTATTATCGTGAACATCTAGACCCAAGTAATCTAAAGTTTTTCCGACAGTATTATTCTCGTCGCCATGGAGTAATTCACCAGTTGTCGGAGTTGGCATTGTCGGTGTAGTCGGACCACTGGCATCATTAGGATGGTCAGACCACACGGAATTAAAAATAGACGGACCAAACGCAGTAGAGAGTGACGAGGATGGAAGCGTCAATGATCCAGAACGAATTCGAGAAGTCTTTGGCGGTGAAAGTAAATTTGACGTGGAGGAAGAAGAAGAAGCCCCCAATGTTGACATAGACAGAGAAGAAGATGGATGATGACCAAGATTGAACGGCGGTCTGCTACCTGACAGAGACGTTGGCAAAGTATCAGCACGAGCGCGACGCAGAGGAGCAGGAAACGGCGACAAATGACCCTGGGCACTCCCGTTTGAATTGGCAACAGTTTTGCTTCCAACTGGCTTTAAAAAATCCATGGTCGAGCCGGAATTCGAATCTGACAAGAGCGTGCCGCTATTAAAAGCTCCGTTAGTCGAAAACGATGGTGGGGGAAGCGCAGAAGAGCGATAGGGCGAAGTAATGCCTTCTTCTGCTTGAATTTCGCGAGCCCTACGAATAGTTATACGGTATTAGAACAAAACACGTATTGATTGTAGTTTGCAAAGACGTTAAAATCAACAAGTGTGCATATATGCGAATCAGAGACCGAGACCCGACAATGAAAGCAATCTTTTGCGTGCGAATACAGTTGTTGAGTAATCTAGTCTCGTTCAGCGTTTCGTTTAGTATCAAACTAACCTTTTGGACGAGAAGTATCTCGTCTCATGTTGGGGAGAGCCTCCGGAGTTGGGACCGATGGCAGGAGAAAACGAATCTTGAACTAATTCTGATGGTTGGGAAGTCATTTCTAACAGGGACTCTTTCCAGTTTATGCTTATATAGGTTACAGTCGCATCAGATTTTGCCCAGCAAAAGGTGATGGGATAATCGTGTGCCTTGTAATCTGGGGAATAGAGGACAAAATAAACTTGGCGACGGCAAGGGCAAAAGTCGTCAGAATCACTAGAGAGTCTGTGTAACGGGACTTGAATTAACTTAGTTGACGAGTAGTATATTCGAGAAAGTAAGTAGTGGAATTAAAAGAATATGTTCACTGCGACAGATTATTATTAGTATAATAGAAAGAGATTATATTAGAAATTAGAGAGATACGAGAAGTTCGAAAGGAAAAAAACCAGGGTTGAAAAAAAAAAGTCGTGATAAGCGGATACAATCAGAGTTTTATCCGATGACGGATTTTTTGATGGATACCAGTTACAAAGACAGGCCTGTAGACTGGCTGTACGTTTGGTCGAGGTGATACGCTTTTCCTCATAAGGTAATTGTCAATGCTTACGGTCTTTTCATATCTATATTTAGTGACGTCATCGAGCTTTAACGAAGATTGTATAGAAGGAATTGAAAAAAAATTTTGTTCCTCTGCCCATTTAGAGGGAACAGACGCGATTAAAAGGTTCTTGGGATGTGACAGGTTGGGGATGGGGAATAGCAATAAGTATGGTGATATTATTTGGTAGTAAAAGGGTGAACTTTGAGATCAACTAAACCAGAACAAGTAAATGACATTAGCTATATAAACCGTAGTAATTACTACGTTGCTTGTTCATTTGTTATAATTAAAGTAATCAATTCGCCGATAATCTTTCCGGCCTAATAATAACAATATCAATAATAATAACCAACAACAAAGACCTTTTCCCTTTTGTCGTACAATCTGCATTGTGTGCCTAATTCTTATTTGAGACAGTTGATTCGGGTATCTCGGGCGTGCAAATCGGACATTAAGAGAAAGCGAAGATCGTATCAGAAAACCCTGAAGAGAAACAAGCTTGGTTGAATACTTTTGGCTAAAAATAACAAGGACCGACAAAGTATGAACTCAAAAGTGGTTATATTGTGACACAACATACATTTATTGATTTGAATATCCCAGTATGAAGATGTGATAGATAAGCGAATAATGGAAAAAGAAGAAATGTGGGCACCCATAATATATGTGGGCACCCATAATATATGTGGGCAATCCATAATATATATGGTCTAATGGCAATTTGTTGTTTAGCATATAATTGATTATGCGACAATAACGTCATCAGATTCTTTCCTTATCCTGAATGCCCAACTATGAAGTTGTATTTCGTTGATTTACCCTTGTTGTCCGATTAAGCAATAAAAACAACGTATTCTAGAATCAATGGACTTTCATCGAACCAATTAAATTTCAACAAACTTCTGCTACACGTTTTAGACAACTCCCTAACCTTTCTGGCGACATAACGTCCATTGACGTTAATATCCGGGAACAGGTGTTGCAATATTAATATTAATATCCAGAATTGGTAAATATGCTCGGATAACTGGTCCGGATGAATTAGCTTTTAGTATTAGTGACAGGACATAATGACAATGGGTCTCTACCTTTCAATAACTTGCCCTCCCCCACCAACTTTTCATTTGCAAAATGTGTTACTTCTTTATTACATAAAAAAAATTCGAAAGCAAAGGCAACACTATCAAGCCATACTAATTAGAGAAATGTTACTCGGTTGCTGACAACCATATTTATTGATCACCTAACGTCCAACATAACATAACCACTCTCTTATGACGAGCAATTATTTACAGTATTTATGTATTATTCTAATTCCGCAAACAAAAGAGAAAGAGAAGGGACCACAACCTCTTGCATCTTTTATGGAGCAGGCAAGTTCTTAAAGTTACCATATTTTTGATCCAACAGTTTCTCACGTTCGTTATATAGACCTCTGTAAGAATTCTTAATGGTAACCTCGGATACACCAGTAACGTTGGCAATTTCCTTGGTAGACTTGGGCTGCCCATACAAATGAGATGCTAGATATATGCACGCAGCCGCGACCGAAACCGGCGATTTTCCAGCTAATACGCCCAACTCGTTTCTCTTTTTAGTCAATTCAACAGCCGCCTTTTGCACTTCCATGCCCAAACTCAACATGGAACAAAAGCGCGACATTAAATCTTCAGACGCCATCGTTCCAACGCCAGTCTCGAAATTGCTGATCAGAATTTTGAAGCAACGTCCGATTTCTTTCTTTGGCACACGCGTAATTGCGCAAATTTCCTTAAATGTACGGGGTACATTCTCCTGACGACAAGCGATAAAAATACAAGCTGCGATAATAGATTCTGTGCTCTTTCCACGTAGGAGCTTTTCCTCTTCTGCACGTTTGTATAACTGTTTGGCAATGTCCGCAATATGTCGTGTCAATCCAATGGCCTCACACATGGCCGCTATTTCTTTATACGCCTGTATTAAATTTTTCTCTCCTTTGACTGCTGTCGCTCTTCCATGAACTTTGTTCAAATCCTTGGCTGTTCCAGATCCGCCATCTCGTCGTGAGATGACAGTGTCCAGCTGTGAACCGTCAAGCAAAGGATTAGCTGCGGCACCTACACGGGATGGGTCATCACCTTCGTCATTGGCAAAGGTTCTCCATTCCGAGCGAGTGTCGATAATTCTATCTCCAAGCACTAAGCCACAATCGCCACATACTAAATCACCACTTGCAAATTCTTCTATTATATTAGGAGTGGGATTCTTGCAGTCTGGGCATAATAGTCGAACATTCAAATCTGGCCTAATTTCTTTCGGTTCTTCTTCCTTGGCAGAATGGATACGAGGAAATGGAATATTAGCCATCTGTTCGATAAAAATTTGGAGAAAGTGAGCTTTGAAATATTCTTCAAGTTCCAAGTCCGATAATAATTCGATGTTGAGTCTTGACGTTGGCTTTGGAAAACCAACATTGTATAATGGTTTAAACTGTCTAACCAGTGTACTATCACATAAAGCTACCATATTCGCTAAAAATATACAGCTAAAAAATTATGTTGTTCGCTATCTGCTGTTTACTTGTTTATATACTCTTTAAATATGCGCTCTCTTCTCTCTTTCTGACGATCTTGTGAATTTACCTTTTTATACGACTAGAGTTGTTAAACCTGTCTTGTAGCTAAACGAGAAAGGAAATTAAAAAGAGAGAGAGAGAGAGAGGGAGGGAGAGAGAATAGAGAGTTAGAACCAAACTTTTGACGTTAAGCTTCTTTCTATGTAAAGTAATAACTCGCATACGATAGAATAGCCGCAGTATACTCCTTCACCAAGCCAAAGGACAAAAACAATAGTTCTCTTTCTTGCTGACTAGAACAAGAAATATATAAAATATGCAAATAGAAGTTTTCGGAAAGTCAAAGCTGGGGAATGTGAAAAGTGTCCAGACAAGAGTGAAACAAGAGTATCATGCTCTGGAGTTCAATGTGAATCGCAATTTTAATACATTCTGCTGAGGAAAAGGCAAGTTCTTTCAATGGTCTGATTGGTCAGTATTAATTCGGATCGGCAGGGCACTAAAATAGCTTGGTCTGACCCGCTTGCTCCACTAAATGATTCAACGGCTAGCAATTACTAGTCAAAAGCATGGATCCAGTTGCCGTGCAAGTAGAAATTAATAACTTTTTGGATCACACTGCTTCAAATCCTAGAAGAGGAGCGAAAAAAGTAGAGACTAGGGATACATATTTTGAACAAGTAGGTCGTTCTTATGCGAATCTCGCACATGACAGGCACTGGAGGAATGCAGACGGATCGGTGTATCCAATTTCGGTCGAACATTTGAAAGAGTATATAATCTTAAAATATGAATCTAGTAATATGAAAAGTGTACTATGGCATATTGGGGCATTGAAGAGATATCAAACAGAGGTGCTCAAATTTAAAAAGTGGGATGAAGTGAGAAATCATCCGGATGTCCTAAAACTACTCGCTGAGTTGGAAGAATCAGAAGCATACAAAAGTGATGATGAAGGAGGAATAGCGCCATTGGGAGGTGTGCAGAATCGAGGAAAAGGTAAAGCTGAAGATTTATCGCTCAAGACAAAAAGGCCTGTATCCCGGTTCGATCTTTCCAGACGTCCTGCACAGACAATCTTGGCCTTACTTGGTCGTACGAATGGCGAAGGTAATGAATCTTTGGGGGATGCTTCCGGTAGCAATACAGCAGCGACTGCTGCTGAACCTAGATTTGAGCAAGGCGACAGTTTTATGGGTAAGTCATACCCCCTCCCCCCCTCACGATGTAATATTAATAAAGTGAGATAGACATATGAGAACAATATTTGGAATGACGAGCTGTTGATTGATTTACTGTTTCGGAATTTGCCACATGTGATTTTGTAAATAATCGCCGTCATAGCATGACTTTTATATATTTGTATATTGTCATTTACTTGATCAAGTTTGTTGCTTTAACAGATTCCGATGAAGACGAGGAGGGTGAGGAAGAAGAGGAGGAAGAGGAAGAAGAAGGTGATGACATGGAAGAAGATGATGCATCTCAACGTGACCAGAGTAATGGAAATGTTGATTATAGAGCGCTTTTCCAAAATGATAGTGACGATTCTGACTATATTCCGCCTTCCAGGAACACATGTAAGAAAACTTGAAATTTAAGCTTATCAAATATTATAATGAGAATAGTTTGTTACTCATTATATTATGAATGGCCTTCTAGTAACTGACGACTCTGGTAATTATATGACAGTCAAGAGTACGTGTCTGATGATTATATGGATCTGTCCGAGTATTCAATGCCCGTCTATGACTCGTTTATACTTTATTCGCTTCGTCCATACTAAGATACTTTTTGTTGGCCAGGACGAAGACTCAGAAGTGAATCGGATAGTGAGTCGTCGGAAGTATGTTTTCATCTCCCACGTTTGTTCAAGATTTTTCGATATATACAAAATTGCTGACTGTGTGCTTATGACAACATAGGATGGACCAGAATCGTTTAAACTTCGTTACGACACTGCATTATCTATTCTAAAGTCAAAATATGTAAACTCCTGTACTAAACACCTTCGTGGGTGTTTTCCTATCGACGAGCGTCGGCACTTGCTCTTGGACGAGAAAATGATCAAGCGATGGGCAACATTGATAGTATGTATTATAATCGTCGTCATTATCAATACTGCTCTTACTAGCTGCTTGTATATGAGTGTTTAATTCATGGATTGTTGTAGGCGTCAGGCGATGATGTTATTGTTGAAAGTCCACCTCAATTCGAAGAATTCCCCGAATTTAATACAGATAGAGCAGTATGCATTTAATGCGTACGCAAAACAAATAACGCATGCTTCGATCATGCAGCAGTTATACTAGGAATAATGCATTGACGATGATTACGACGAAATGAGATCATATGATTGACGTTGATGATACAACGATAGGACGTTGACGGTGATGTGGTGAGGACGATAGTATTTGTTGATCGTGAATGATTGTACCGATATTAGCACTCATCTGACTGATACAGACACTGTTTTATATGTAAATGGATAGTTATTGATCTGTTTGTATGAATGCTGTAAATAAGTTTAATTATTCTTAATGTAAATTTAATTTTATCTTATTGAAGAAATATTGAAAAAGGAAATAAATTTGAACTTCCTTCGCTTCCTGGCGTTGTTGAATGCCGCACAGGAAAGACCCGCAAATTTAAACTTGAGCAATTCATTAGATCTCTGGTGTTGATAGAATTATATATCAACAAGATTTTTTGGGGGGCTGTGGACTGATGAACACGCAATAAAATACATTTGCGCCTCATAGGCATAATCACCAAATTTATTATGTCTATTAATAAGTACATAAACAACGTCTTGAAATCTATTATTATTATACTTCTTGCTTCTCTATTGTAGAAAAATGCATAGCCTCCTGGTAAATTAGCACTGTCGACGAAAAAACATATCAATAGTTTGCGCTAGTGAGAAGAGATTGAAAGAGAAAGCGTTCGGGAAAAACAAGTTTACTCACCCTTTAGTTCCTCCTTCGTCAACGAATCTTTCTGTTTATCAAAGTCAAAAAATGAATCGGGAATTGGATCCGCTCCTGGCTCATCACTAGGATCATGGAACTGAAATTCAAAAACATGTAAGTATTGTTGATTTCCAACAGATTTTCAATAACAAAAGTATACTCACAGGCTCCATGTAGGGGTGGTTTAATGCCTCTTCAACTGTAATTCTGTTCGATGGATTAAATGTAAGCATTTTTTCAAGCAAATCCAGAGCAAGCGGATTCGCATTGGGGAATAGTTGTGCAAAGGGAATGCGCTTCTTAAAAGGCATACTCCTTATATACTGGCGAGCCTAGATGAATACAATTAACTGTTAGCAGACAAACTCGCCACGTCCATTTCGTAAGGCTGATTATATTTGGCATACCCTTTTACTACTAATGCTCTTGAGGTCGTCTGGCCTGGGTGTTCCTAGAACTTCGAAAATCAACCTAAGCTGGTCATGGTCTATAATTCAAAGATTTTCAAAATGCGAATCAAGGAAATAAAAGGAATCAAACATGGTAAACGTTTAATTTCACGAAAACTCCTGCGGTAACAAAGGATACAATCTCTCCCGGGAAACAATGGCTTTCTACCCAATATTTCCGCCATGATGCATCCGACAGACCAAATATCAACGGCTTTCGTATATACATTGAACGTGAGCATAATCTCTGGTGCACGATACCATCGGGTAGCGACATATTCGGTCATAAAGCCACTTTGTTCGTCGCTAGGATTTGCATTTCGAGCAAGACCAAGATCGCAAATCTTTGGGATAAAGAATTGCACTTTAGAATCCATGACGATTTTGTCAGCGAAAAGTAGTTTTGCACAAACAAACCTTTAAATCACAGTTGGCATTTACAAGCAAGTTGCTCGGCTTTAAATCGCGATGCAAGACATTTGCAGAATGCAATGCTTTGAGAGCGCGAAGAATTTGATAAATAAAGTACTGGCAATGGTCATCGCTCAATCGCTGGGACCGAATAATACCGTGCAAATCGGCTTCCATAAGTTCTAGAACAAGGTAACTAATACAAGTCAAAGCATAAGCATGCATATTCATAGATTTCTTTCGCGTAATCTCTAGAACTTACACTTCATTGAATTTCCCCATGTTTTCAGGCCTCACAATATCTAGAATCGATATGATCTAATCACGGTTGTTATTTTGTTTTCAGTTAATAATATTTTCTTGAGCGAAAAGAAAAAAGGGGGGGCGAGCGAAATTTCACAAAATAAAATCAATGTTGTTATTACGTTCTCATGATTAAAATAGCGCAAAAGCTTCATTTCACGAAGAGTACGCAAGCAAAACAGAGAGTGGTCGAAAGGTTTAACTTTCTTTATAGCGACCTTTTGGCCGGTTGGTTTATGAATGGCGGCGCTAAAAAAAGAAGAAAGAATGTTATGCAAACGTTCAGGGTTTGTTCAGTTGCCGAGTTTAAAACTTTTCAATAATTACCATACAACGCCGTAAGCACCCTCTCCAATTACATGTAATAATTCGTAATTCGAACCGACGTTAAATTCAGGTCTTCTCGATCGACTGGACATGGTTTTTGTATACAATTCTATAAGAAAAGTCTAAGTGTCTATAGTACAGTAAAAAGTGTTTGCGAAAGAATGCGGTGGAATAGTTTGAAATTTTTGTAGTGAAGGATAGAGCATGTGGGGGGGTTCTTTTATATGGTGAATAAACTGTGACAACAGTATTTATTATTTTGCTTACAATCATTTCTATGGTAAGAAACATAGAATTGTTGACAACAAAGGCGTTTTTTTCTTTGCATCGTTGTTCGATGTCATTGTCATTCGAAATTTTCCGAATGGTTGGGTTCTGTTCGCTAATACGTATTTGTTTGCCCTTTCTGGTAAAACTGCCAAATTAAAGTCAACCATGTAAACTAAACAAAGTGAACCATGAGTGCCACGATGAAGCCTAATATGGGAAAAAGTTAATTTGAATGTAATACAGGCCGTAAATGTACAAAACTTCCCGGCTCGGTCTTTGTTTTCAAATGAACTATTATTATAGCAATCAAATTAATTAGTAATTGTTGAACTTACCAATGTGTAATACCTAAATAATCTAACAATATTATCGGTCTTTAATATTATTATTATAGCCTCTGCAAGCTTTATGTAGAAAGAAATACATGTTAATGTACGCATACCTTATTTAATATTAAGCGCAGAATCTATGTAATGAAACTTTATCGTCTATTATTATTATACAACGAGACCAATATGTAATCGGAGCGAAAAAATTTCTCTACCAACTTTTAGCGCTTTATAGTTCAAGACTTCCAAGAAAGGATACTTCTGCGGCAATTACTAATTTCGAAAATCCTAATTTTGCAAGGCCATAATAATAATAATAATAATAATAATAATAATAATAATAATAATAATAATAATAATAATAATAATAATAATAATAAT